TATATATATATATAATGATTATAAATATTAACTTTTAAAGGATGTTTATACATAGAGAAAAAAATTCTGTTAAAATTACCGTTCAGTATAGTAAAGGCATTTCTAGTAAAAAAAACCCATAACCTACGACATTTATTAACCATTCATTTGAAAATTTGTTGTAATGTACCAGAAATTCGGATTCCCAAAATTATAGTTCTTATAACCAAACTTTTTGTAAAAAGTACAAAACTAAAAAGTAAATTTAACGAAATAAATGATTTTTTTGGTCATGCTCTCAGATATTATGATAAAATCATCAAATTTTACTACATTAACCAAATTTTATCACATGTTATAAGACCATATTTTAACGTTAATTTCTCCAAAATTATTACCAAAGCGCTTCGGTAAAAATTGAAGAGTTTTTTGGTGTTCCTTTAGAGCCAGAAACACGGTAAATTTTTTCATATTCTAATAGTTTTAATAGTACTTTTTTTTCTTTCTCGGAATGATTTTAAACTAACTTCAAGCATTTTATGTTCCTTGCGGTTAATAAATTTTTCCTTTTAAAACAGTGAAATATTACATAATAATATATGCCAGATAGTTTGACTTAAAGTGATTTCCTGATTCCCAGAACGTCAAGACATGAACAAAGGTAAGCAACTGTGAGAAAAGGAGAATAAAATTCTCATTTTTTCATGAATGAGAACTTTAAAAAAATTATGTAATTACAAATATTTCAATTTGTTACATTTCTAAATGCAAAAGTTGTTGATATAAAATATATTTGCATTCAAAAATTGATTTTTTTAAAAAAAAATCAATTTATACACTTGCGATCATTTTATTCTATTAGATATCAAAACGCAAAATTTAATGATAAAAACAGATTTGTTGGGGATATTTTCAAACTAAAGTACCCTTTACGGTAAGTCTTTTACTTAATCGCAACTATTGTTTAAATATTATGATATGGTTAAAAATATTTTCTTTGAACTCACAAGGAAAACTGCACTAAGAAAAAAAAAAGTATGGTCAAAACTACCAGAATATGGTGAAATTTGCCGTGTTTATAGCTCTATTGGGACAGCAACATAGGTAGGTAATTTTTACCAAAGCTCTTTAGTAATGCTTTATGGCAAAATTAACAATTAAATATGGTTTATAGTATGGGATAAAATTTTGTAAATGTGGTTAAATTTGGTATTTTACCAGATTTGGCACAAAAACATTAAGTTAGATTTAATTTTCTTTTCAGTTTATTACTCTTCACTAAATGTTTGGTAATGAAAGCTATAATTTTGAAAACTGGAAATTCCAATAAACCATCACCATATGAAAAAAAAATTCTCAAATAAGTGGTTTAAACACTGTATATTTTGGTCTCAGATTATAATATATAGTTTCATTAAATATTGTTAATATTGTTTTTCCTCCCTGTAATAATCATTATCACACAGCATTGTAATTTTATTACAATTGTTTTCTCCGTGTACGCATTTTAATTTTTGAATGAAAAATTTAGTGACTTCCTATGATTGATTAATTTGTTTCTTTCTAGGCATTTACATTAGGTTTTAGTTCAAGTTCATACAATTTAGAAAAGAAACGAAACAGTCGTGATAGCTTTGCTGTTCCTCGGATATCGGTTACTCAGGTATGCTATTGCATGTTAATTACTATTTCAAGTAATATTAATATAAGTAGTATTTAATAACTGAAATAAACTGAAGAAACTGAAATGAAGCTTAAGAGCTTGAATTGTATGCACAAAATTGAAGTTAAGATAAAATGTTTGCATTTCTTTTGCTAAACAAATTAATATATCAATAGCTTCAGAAGAAATATTTATAAAAGTGGTCTTATTATAATAAAAAGAAATATTTGAAAAAAATCTATAAAAAATGCCGATATTTGACACAGTAATTTGAACCGAAATTTTTTATAGTATATTTGAAATTTTTCTTATTCTAATGAAAAGGGGTATTTTTTGTATTTTTTTATTTTTTCAATTGTAGTTGCAGTTGTAGTTCATTTACGTCGCACTAGAACTGCACAATGGGCTATCGGCGACGGTGTGGGAAACATCCCTGAGGATGATCCGAAGACATGCCATCACAATTTTGATCCTCTGCTGAGGGGATGGCACCCCCCATTTAAGTAGCCCAACGACCTGCAGTTTAACGAGGACCAATACCGTACACCCTTGGCCCCTACGTGGACTGATCCAAGTGGTCACCCACCCGCCCACTGACCGAAGCCAGTGATGCTTGACTTCGCTGATCTTCTGGGAACCGTGTCTTAACGATCAGTCCACTGCGGGACTTTATTTTTTCNCAATTATTGTTGTAGTTGTAGTTCATTTACGCCGCACTAGAGCTGCACAATGGACTATTGGCGACGGTCTGGGAAACATCCCTGAGGATGATCCGAAGACATGCCATCACAATTTTGATCCTCTGCAGAGGGGATGGCACACCCACTTAAGTAGCTCAACGACCTGCACGCGAAGTCGATCACTTTAAGGTAGAACAGTTTAACGAGGACCAATATCGCACACCCTCGGCCCCTACGTGGACTGATCTAAGTGGTCACCCTCCCGCCCACTGACCGCAGCCAGTGATGCTTGACTTCGGTGATTTGCTAGGAACCGTGTCTTAACGATCAGTCCATTGCGGGACTTTATTTTTTCAAAGAAATTGAATTATATAATTATATTAAATCATTGATTTTCATTAAGATAATGAAATATTGAGCAAATGAAATTAAAAGATCTTTAGGGAAAATTAAGATAAGGCACAATAAGATCCTTAGGGAGATTCGGTTATATCTCCAAAGCAAAGTTTCTTTACCTCAATTTACTTTTTTTGTAATGTTAAATTTCGTATTTTTCAATTAAATAAATTCAATATAGTGTTTTTTTTTTGTTTTTGGCCAAGTTTTCATTTAATGTAATGAAAATAATGTAATGATAAAGAAATAATGTAATATAAGGAAATAATGTAATGATAATGCAATATAAAATGTATATTTCCATGCATGTTTTTTTAAAATACTTTTCAGGCTGAAGGAACTCCAAAATGTTTTTGTTTTTGATTATTAAAGAAGTTTTTAGCCGAAATATTTCAATATTTTTTACAAGTGAAATTTTCAGTGTTCCCCGATCTTAATCAAAACAAAAAACAACCTCTTGAATTTTTTTATGTTTTAAAGTATGGAATTTAACATCGTGAGAAAAAAAACTGAGATCAACAAACATTGTTTTTGAGTTTTAAAAAGTCTTGAAGTTTATTTGACTAAAACAACTATTTATTCTTTTTTACTAACAAAAAACACCCACAATTGAAATAAAAAGATCACAAAAAATTGAAATCGGAAAACTTTGTTTTAGTGCTGTTAAAAAAAATTCTTGAATTATTTTGGTTATAAGCCGCTTTATATTTTTTTAATGACATCGATTAGACTGTTGGATTATTTTATAATAAAGAAAAAAACACGAAATATTTTGAGGAAAAAATTGAGATCAAGATACACTTTGTTTTTAGGCCGTAAAATATCTGGAAAATCTAGTGCTAGGAAAATTAAGATTCATTCATTTTGCCACAATAGCAGCTTTAAACGAAACGGCTGGCTAAGCGCCATCTGGCGAGAGTATTTGCAGTCTGTTTCCAGCCACTGAACTGTTAGGCTGAGTCCACGTCCGCACACCAGTAAACGTTTTTTTTTTAATTTCATTTTTAATAATTATAATTTGTATTAGATTATTTCTATGTAACTGTTTTGTGCTCTATTTTATATGTTTCAATAAATTCATCAAAAGTTAAAAGAAATCTTAATTTTCCTAGCTCAGGGGATAGAGCGCTCGCCTTCCAATGAGGTGAACCGGGTTCGAATCCCCAGCGATGGCTGGTCAAAACAAAAACAAATCCGCATCCGGCTTGCACCGACCACAGTGTTGACGTGAAATATCCTCAGTGGTAGACGGATCATGAGTTAGAGTCCCTTTGCCGTCAGCCTAACCGTGGGAGGTTCTCGTGGTTTTCCTCTCCGTGCAACATAAATGTGGGTTAGTTCCATCAAAAAGTCCTCCATGTAGGCAAATTTCTCCCAATACTTGATCCAGGAGTTCCCTTGTCTTCTGGATTGGAATCAAAATTAAAAGGCTACGGCGCTGAACATTAATAGTCGTAAACCCAAAAAATTGGATCGGCTGTTCAACGACGGTTATAAAATAAAAATAAAATTAGTTTCATTCTTTGATTGGATAAGTTAAGCACATTTTGTACTCAGAGAATTTTGTGTTATACGATAATCATATTAGAATATTATTTTTATAACATGATACACAATGGAGGAACTCATATTTTAAGCAAATAAATTAATTTAAAAATTAATTAAAAAAGTTCTTTAAAAATGAATTTTTTTTTAAATGCATGTTTATTTGAATTGAAGAATACATCAGGCCTTTAGGTGAAGTTTAGAGAAGCAGCAGAAACACAAAAGTTTTTAACTCATACAAAGAAACTCCTTTCAAAGTTAAAATCATATTGGTTGTTTTTTCTAATGACACTTGACAAGCTAAGCTTGATTTCGTTTGATAAGAGAGCACCACAAGGATAAGTCTCAGCTCAGAATCCCACGGATAGATGGCAGCACCACTCATTCATGAGGCCACTCCCTCAAATTAGACAGATCTGGAGGAAAAGGAAATTTTCTCCGACTCCACACGTTGTACGAGCACATATAACGCATGTACTCAGTGGGACAAGGATCGCACCCCGCTCTGAACAAGATGTAGTCCGATTCTCTAGAAGGGCTACGACTGCTGAAGTTAATACTTTATTGTCATAGCTAAAAAGCCACTTTTTCTTACAGCCACTTTAGTTATACTTAACTGATTTAATAACAAATATTATATGCTGAATTAAAAATTTAAATAATAAACGGCTTTATTATTTAATAAAAAANATATATATATTGGCACAGAAATATCCGCTATGCTACGATCTCAAAGTTTCGAGCTGGAATGAATAACTTCAACGAGCACAGTGTCTCCAATGGTATTGTTACTGATTTTTTCACTAGTCGAAATAGTGGCGACGACGGGTTCGGCGATTGAATGAACTTTTTGTTAAGACAAAACAAAACAGATTTAGCGACAGACTCCGAAAGACAAGCGGCAGAGATAACTCTTAGTCTGACTAACCAACTCCACTGTACCCCGTTCCCCCTTTTATATAATTTTTCACAAATTCTCGAATTTTTCACAATTCTCCAAAATTCTCGAATTGTCTCTAAGACGACAGAATGTCTGGGATTTCAGAATCATCGCGTAAAGACCTCGCGAATGACAGCTAGTCTCGAAAACTATACTGGCAGGACAGAAAGGAACCAGTCATTAACAGTATCACGTAAATTTGGTTTCAAAAGTACAATCCTATTATAGTAAATGTTTTTTCAGTATTCTGAGAAATACCGTGAGGAAAAAAAAGTAGGCATAAGGCAAATAAAAATATATAGTCTTAAAAAATAATAGCACTCATAATTTCTACTAAAATTTTTATTTTTGCCATTTTATCTGAGCTCAAGGGGGGTGTTTAAACCTCTAAACCACTCCTTTGCTTACGCCGGTGCCAGCTACTATATTTTAGAATCATAGCGCATGCGCAAAACTTTCTAACCAATCATATATCACTAAGGGTTGGAAAATAAGGTTAGCGTTATGTTAAACGTAAGACAAACGCTATGCTAAATTTATTTATTTTGATTATTACGTTGTGTTTCTCGACATTTTTCTAGATTTTACAGAATTTTATAATTTTTAAATCAAATACAAATTATAAAGAATTCAGTTCTATTTTTTTAAAATCTGTTATTTAGGTAGTGAATGGGGTCAAAATTCCACCTGAAGAGGAAGAGGTCAGCGAAAGAGGAACATGGTCCAAAAGCATTCAAAGTTTGTTTCTTTGTTTATCCATGTCTGTTGGCCTTGGAAACATATGGCGGTTTCCTAATGTAGCCTATAATAACGGAGGAGGTAAGATGAAATAATTTGAAATAGCTAAATATATTCTAATATTTTGTCAGTAAGTTTCATATTGTATATTATTAGTATTGCAATAGTTTAGGTCATTAGTTTAGTTCATATTATATAGTATTACAATAGTTTAGGTCATTTTTAATTGAGCTACAGCACATATCAAGTCAATAAGTTTAAGTTCTTCCACTTTGTAGTAATAATAAGTTTAATGATGCTATTTACAATATTTCTGTTTCCGAATCTACCAAAACTCCTTTTATAATCATTTACGGCAACATTTGGCCTTTTATTACATACAAACTAAAAGTCAAAATAAAGGCCAATGCATGCTAGGGATACAGGAAAACATTCGTTTAATTTTGTGGAATACAATATTAAATGTGAGTCATTTGGTGCTTCGTGGCACAGTCCCGATACGCAACTCTCCACCTTCGCCGGTGGAGAGCTGCGGATCGAGAGTTCGATTCTGGAACAATCAGTTTAATAGTCCCTGAGAAACCGAATTTTAAATATACAGCTTCTTTAATTCGATATCTTAGGAACTATTTGACCTATTCTGCTGAAATTCTGCATATTTCAATTTGAAATTGCATTCTTTAAAATGATGGGGAATATTGTATAACTTACAATTCAAATTTCGCTTTCAAACTTCGTTTCAAAACTAGTTCAAAATTTGATTTTTCGGTTATTATTAAATAAAATAACAATAAGAAATAAATATTTACTAACAGTTATATTTTGCTTAGAAATTATCTTTGGATAAACGAATTTTATAGCTGTATTCAAAAATTTTTCAATTTATTTAAGTTTTCAAGATGTGGCAAAATATGTAAAAGATAAAAATAAAACTGTGGGATCCAAACTTTAAACCACTCTCCTGATAAAACTATGAGGATCACATATCCCAGATTGCGGCTACCTCCTATATTTTAGGGGTCAGAAATCCGAATCCCTTGAAAAATTGGTATGTTTATTCGGAGAAAGTACGTTTTTGTGTCTGATTTTGCAACTTAAAATATCGTTTGCCTTAATTAATTCCCTTCAACCTTTAAGCTTGAGTCCTAGAACATGAAGATCCGATCATTAGATCAAAAGTTATTCAGGGTGGTCCGTTTTTTATTTTGCGCACTGTACACGAATAAGTAGTTATTAAGCTAAACTAACTTATAAATCGTTATTAAATAAACATGAATTCAAGTACTGAGGATACATTTTTGAAGCGCAATTCTTTTGATAAGTTAACAATTATAAGAATTGTTTTCACCGGTGTTCCGTATTAAGATATTTTAAATAATTAAATGCAACAATGCTCAAAACTATTTAGTTTGAAAGTTGTACGTTTGCGCTTAGACAAGGAAATTTCAAAAGATCTAGGTTAGATTGCCATGCCAGCCAACACAAAAAAATAGCAAACATGTTGCAAATCTGTTAAGGGGTTTGCATATTTGTATAATGAACGTATAAGCATAGTTTTAAGAATTTAACTTCCATTAAAATCTGATTTTTAATTCTAACTGACTTAGACTGTCTTGTTTTGACGACATATTATACTTGAGGTTATTTATAACTCAAATAATATAAATCTTAAAATTAATTCTAAGACAGGAAGTAATGGAAACTGAATGATGATTAGAAATTATTTGATATTCGTATGGTTTATTGCAAAAGTTAAGTTTGTAGGTACACCGACGAAGTAAATGCAAACATGAGCGTTTACATTAATCTAAACCTATTTCGAAACATAAGGACTAAAGCAAATATTATATGTTTGATATTAACTGAACACAAATAAATCACGTTTTGACTTGTATTAAACGCATCACGAATGTTTGAACCTTAAATTAAATAAATGAAACAGCAAAAACAAAGTTGTTGAATAACATCCGGTGAATATAAATCTAAAATCCTTTAATTCAGGAAATAGAAATTGTCACGATATTATTTTTTTTAAAGTTAAAGCAGTTTTGAATCTAAAGTAAGCATTGTATCGTGTAAATTACACCATGTAGCAAACAACGCCTGCAAGTTTCAATTAAATTCAATTCCGGGAAATTTTTTTGTTGTTGATTTGTTGCATAGGATTTTTTAACGGACCCTGGATATTTTCTCGTCCATGAATTTAAATCTGCAATTGATTTTTCTCTGCAATCAACAGTTTTTTTTAATTGACACTTTTAGTCTATTTTTTTGTCATAATGTAGAAAGTTTAAAAACGTTATACTAAAATATACTAAAATATTTTATACTAAAATATAATCTTATGGTATGAAATCTCTATAAATACATTTTAGAGAGACATTATAATGATATTATATTTATGTAAAAATCGTTTTATCTGAATAAATGGGTCAGATTTATCTGAGTATGTCACATTTAAAGTATGTCACAAAGAAAAAATGTCATGTTCACGATTTTTTCTTGCTTTTTTAGGGTGTAAAAAAGAAGAAAACAATTCATGTAGAAATAGTGTGCCCCCCAAAATGTTTTTTTTTTTGGCCGCCTAATTGGCGTTTATTTGTAGAATTGCTCATGTAACGTTGAACAGCATAAATACAGCGTCAAAAATCTAGAGTAGTTAGGGCACATCATCAGGATTAAAACTGCACAGTAACCCTTTACAGGAAATGTCACCATACGCCGCTAAGGGTGCTTCCCCATAATGAACTGCATCTTCTTGTATTTCTGAACAGGTCATAAAAGGACAGCTACCCAGCTGTGCATGTTGACAGTTCCGGGTATGGGTTTCTAACAGTTTCAATCCTCATGATGCAAGTAAAAATAGAAAAATAAAGAAGAGATTTTAGAGGTCCTAAGGAGGAGAAAATAGTTATGATTACATCAGATTAAAAATGAAAGAAAAAAGTCTGGTTGCATCACTTTTGAGAGTCGTGAGAATAATCTGAAGTTAAATCAACAACTTGTGTGACTCACGATAGAAATATTTTTCGAAGAAACTGAATTAAGACTTCTAAAAGATGAATTGATGTACAAGGCAATTTACTATTTCAAAAACGTTTCACAAAAATCCTATTATAATATGCTTTTTAAATTCAAACAATAAAAACACAATTGTAAACTCAAACTAAAAGAAGAGTGCATATGTTATGGATAACTTTATTTTTTTTAAACAAATTAAACTTAGACTCTAGGAAATGGAACACACAAAATATTTATTATATGATGAAAACATTTCACAAAAATCTAATCCTAGAGTTTTCTTATCGTCGAGCGATATGTTTAAGAAATATAAATATTTTAATGCAGTTTAAACTGCAGGTAGTTTAACTACTACATTTTACTGTAGTATGCTAAAAAAATAATAAGCGGACCAACTTAAATAACTTTTGATTTAATGATACCAAATCTTAATTGTACGAAGGGGTGGCTTCAAACATGCGAGTTAATTAGTGCGGATGATATTTTCAGTTCCGAAATCAGACAACAAAAATGCACTTTCTCTGAATAAAAATGCTTTTTTTCCGACGGATTCGGATTTCTGACTCCCGGAATATAGCGGGTAGCCGTAATTTGGGATAGATGGCCCAATAGTTTGGTCAGGAGAGCGATTTAAAGTTTGGACCACTTAATTCTAATTTTACTTTTTGCGTATTTCGCCATATCTCACGAATTTCTTAGGCCAATTTTTTTTTATCCAGAGATAATTATTGCATGCAAAACATAAATTTTAGTGCAAATTCATAATTTTTAATTATTTTATTTAATAATAGTCGGAAGAATTGTGAATTGTAAGGTATACAATTTTTTACGTAATTTTAAATTATGTAATTTTATATGACAAAATATAAAATTTGAGCCAAATTGACTGAATAAATTATACGATTTATTCAGTCAATTTTGCTCAAATTTTATATGTAACTGTAAGACTTTTTTAAAATTAGATTTCTTAGGAATCGCTCAACCAATTTCGCTCGAATTTCGTCTTTTGTCATGTAAAATTACATACTTTAAAATGATGTGAAAATTTTATACTTTACGATAATTATTAAAAAAAATAATAAATATTTACTAAAAATTATAGTTTGCTTGGAATTCTTTTTGGATAAACAAATTTTATATTTGTGTACAAAAATTCTTAAGTTGTTGCTTAAGAAGTTCCTGAGATGTGGGGAAATATGCAAAAAGTAAAATTAACATTAGGTGTCTAAGCTCTTTTGCAAACTGTTGTGATCGTATTTCCAGATTGCGAGTACCTCCTGTATTTTGAGGGTCAGAAATCCGATTCCGTTTAAAAAAAAAGGTATGTTTAGCGAGAGAAAGTATGTTTTTGTGCCTGATTTCAAAATTAATATTTTAAAATATCGTCTGCACTAAATAATTAGCATATTTGAGGTCTGCCCCTCGAACCATTAAGATTGAGTCCTAGAACGTGAAGATACGATCATTATATCAAAAGCCATTTAGGGTGGTCTGTTTATTTTTTTGCGCACTATACTTAAAACAAATAAATTGTGCGAATCACAGTTTAATTATGTTTAAAAATAATTGAATTTTTGACTCTGGATTTTGGGTTTTTACACAAAATATAGATAGAATCGTTTTAAAAAATCTATTCATTTAGCTTGAGTTTAAAAGAATGAAATTTAGCTATATGCATTTGTAAGTCACGTATTTTTGAAAATGAAATAAATGTTAAGATAATAAAGATGCAAATTACGTAAAGTTAGGAAAAGTTTCATTTAATAATTATAAGGGTAAGTTCGGTGTTTAAGGAATTGAGTTTTAGTGGCTCAGCATACAAAGATGAAATTAAGAAATTTTAAAACCATAATTAAACCTACCTAACTCCTTTTAAATGTTGAAAGTCTTATCTCCATGAAATTAATATTAATGAAATATTAGATTAACCCATGAATTTAAAATTATGTGGATACAAATATATACAATATCTACACGAAACAAAAGTTCTGGTAAAATTACCGTAGTGTGTTGTAAGGGTATTTCTGCTAAGAACAACACCATAATTTTTGTTAATAAAACTAAAAAATTGTTAATAAAACTAAAATATACGATTATTTAAACTATTCATTTAGTGATTTTTCCGTTCATATGGTAACGGTTTACCAGAAATGTTGTTCTTATTACCACACATTTCGTAAAAAATACAAACTGAAAATTAAACTTAATAAAATAAATGGTTGTTATGTCATGCTCTAAGGCATCCGGATAAAATTACTAAATTTTACCGTATTTACCAAATTTTATACTTATCAAAACGCAAATTTTCTAAAAATATTTTGCTACATAATAAAAATATAAAAAATTCTAAATAATTATGATTAATATTATTTTCTAAACTAAACTAGAATATATTATAATGGAATATATAGGAAGAAAAACTAAAATATATTTGTTCATGTTCGCACAATAAATCGTTACTTAAAAGTGTTTTCAGACAGCCAGGAGTCATAATATAGTCTCAGATCATATACAAACAAACTTGTGTAGTTCAAAATATGATGATTTCTAATGTACTGTGTAAGGGAAATACGTTTTTATTTTGTTGTCAGTGATTTTACTTACAAACAAGCCTTTCTTGAGTAGCTTTTGCATCTAATGAGCTAGTAAAGAAATACTTCGTGAATTTCTGATTCTGTTAATAAATCTATATTTTGTTAAAATGCATCACTCTCTGTATTTTTGTGTATAATATTCTTCACTGTTACTATAGGAGCATTCCTGATTCCATATTTGCTACTATTATTTATCATTGGTCGGCCATTGTATTACTTAGAGCTTATTCTTGGACAATTTTCAAGTCAAGGACCGATAAAAGTTTGGAGAATCGTACCAGCATTGAAAGGTAAACTTTTAAAAAAAGAAACCACTTATTTTTTCTATTTTTTGAAAAAAATTCTGATTAAATAACTGTCACGTATGGTAATTACATTTCTAGTAAAACAAACCCTTAATTCTAGTTATAATAAACTAAAAGATATGGTATTTAAACCATTCTTTTAGTAATATTTCTGTGTATATGGTAACAGTTTAAGGAAAATTCCGGTTTTTAAAATTATAGTTTTAGTTACGACGCAATTAATCGAAAATATACAGAACTCAAAAGTACATTTAACGGAATAAGTTTTTATGCTTTGTTCTAAGGTATCAAAGTCCCACAGTGGACTGATCCTTAAGACACGGTTCCCAGTAGAACACCGAAGTCAAGCATCACTGGATGCGGTCGGCGTGCGGATGGGTGAGCACTTGAATAAATCTGCGAAGGGATCGAAGGTGTACGGTATTGGTCATCGTTAAACTGTTCTATCGTAAAGTGCACGACTTCGAGCGCTGGTTATCGGGCTATAGAAGCGGGGGTGCCATCCCCTCTGCAGAGGGTCAAAATTATGATGGCATGTCTTCGGATCATCCTAAGGGATGTTTCCCAAACCGTCGCCAATGGTCCATTATGCAGCTCCAGTGCGACGTAAATAAACTACAACAACATCTAAGTTATCAAGATAAAATGACTAGATTTTGCAGCTTCACCAAATTTTATTACACATTATAAAACGCATTATATTTTATTACGCATTATATTTTATTGCTAATTTTATTCCACTCTGTAAAAAAATTCTGAATCAAATTCGGTATGGAGTACCGGCACTGTGATGCCACAATTGGCATTACATATTTATTTTCTATCCTTTTTAAAATATTTTTCATTACTTAAGCTTTTTTTTTATTAATAGAATTACGTTTAAAATAAATAAAAGACTTAATCTTTTAAAGCGAACACGAACATAAAATATTTATTCTTCTCTTTTAGATCAATGTAACGGATACTTTTTATTTCATCACTATGCAGACTTATTAATTCACTGTCGGCTCTAATCGAAAACAAAAATCTATTTAAAACTTTTTATTCTAAATTTATATCTGTTAAATGTTTCGGTTGCATGGTTGTAATAATTCTCATAAATTTGTTGGTGACTCGTGATCGCCAAGGTGTTCTTTTAAAACCAATATTGATATGCTAGTTGGCTTTGTTTTGGCTATGATATATTATGATAAATCGCCAATTTTGGATCTCCTATCCATACTTTCTATGTCCGTTGGGAATAATTATATTCACTTTTAATTTCAAATTTGTGGAGACTGGGAGTGCCCTTAGGGGCCTCCCCAGTCTCAACTTCTAACGGTCAAAAATGATATTCTGGCTGTATGATCTTTCAATAGGAGGGTATTCTGATTTTATCTCTTTAAGGGGTTTCTATTTTGGATGAAAAAATGGTCATTCTCTATCACCTATTATGCTTAATAAAGTAAATTTTCATTTTAACGAGTTATATATTGTTTCCTGCACATTATCCATTTTTAGTATTTTCATAATCAAAAATGTATTTTGTACGGCTAAGTAAAAATCCACTACACGAATATTGGCGGCTAATGACGGAGAACCAAACCTCCGCCATAGGCACTTTGGATGCATCAGCCGTAAAAATTTTTTAACCGTAATTTCTACAGTAATACTTGTTTAATTAGAGTTATTCAATGATTTTGCTGTAATTATTATTGTAAACTTTACGGTATATCAGATTTTTTTGTGCCGGTGAAATTTTGTGGTAAGATGTACCGGCACTTAATTTCATCCGTAATTTCTTACAGAGTAAATTTAGAGAAATCTGTACTCCTTTAGTTTCGACCATACTTTTTATCGAAGTAACATCTAAAAAGATATATTTTTTTTAATAAAAATATACTTAGCCCACTCAAATTCACACTCAATACCTTTTTACCATCAAATTTTTAGATAACAAAATTGTTTAATTATTACATTTTGAGAATAGGCATTATTTAAAACTTTCAATGAATCACATATTTGTGGAAGCATATCAGTCAAATATAGAAATATTGATTTATGAACATTGATGTATATATATTTTCTACTGATGTCTAGCTTTTATTAAAACTGAAATGTATATCCTACCGAAACATTAGAAGCAATGATTAATATGAAAAGCTTTGTTTACGCAATCGCAGAATCAGTTCGTCTCTGATTCCAATAATAAATCCAAATTTAAATACTAGAAAGAGAAAGAACACCCCTAAAAATTTAAAACAATTTTAATATGTTATGGTGTAAAATAATGATTCGTCATAAAATTTATGTGTAGAGTAAAATGTTTAAATTGCATGAATACCTATTATTTAATGATGAAATAATTATTCCATTCAAAGCAAAATGTATTAAAATATGCCAATTGAAGCAAAAGAAATTACGTGTGGTTAATTCAAAATTTTCTCAAAAATAATTTTTTTTTCTGGTATGTTGGTAAAACTGATTAATATGTGGACTTTTAATTCCGCCCTAGTAATTGTACAAATAATATAGCTATAAAAATAAAAATATCTAATAATTCTCTTACAATTCAGTCTATTGTCCATGTAACCTTTAGTTTGCTATATTTTTTATGATAACTTATCAGTTATATTTTTTTTTGGTGTGATTCAGAAACTAATCACTATTCCACCATTTCCCATGTAAAGAAAAAGAACCCTGCACTCATGAAAAAAACAACAACAATTAAACAACTACAACTATAATTCATTGTACTGTGAATGCACAACTATAAATCATTTCACAGCATATTACAACGTTCACAACATTAAAACAATCACAGTGAATTAAAAAACAAACAAAAAAAAAATAGAAAAAAAAACGGAACTTCTGTTATTAACACTTTTGATCTATTGATCGGATCTTCACATTCTAGGACTCAGTTTTAATGGTTTGAGGTGGTGACCTCAGAGGGTATTGTAAGTTAGTTTAGTAACTTAATAATAGTTTGACAAACAAATAGTTTGGTCTGGAGAGTGGTCGAAAGTTTAGACTCCTTAACATTAATTTTGCTTTTTTACGTACTTCACCTTATTTCGAGAAATTTTAAATCGAATTGAAAAATTTTTGCACACAATTATTAAATTTTTTTATCCAAATATTATTCGATGCAAAAAATAACTTTCAGTAAAGCTTTATTATTTTTTGCATCATTTATTTAATAATAGTCGAATTAATTTTGATTCATTGAGTAAATTAAGCAATGTAATCTTAAAAAAAAAATCATATTTTTGCTTAGTTGTAATTCACAATAAATATTAGCCGCTGAAAGTTTTTCTTACGTGAAGAAATCTTTTCACTTTTTGCACCTCACAATTGTTAACATCTTCAAACACAGAGCGCGATTTGTGATGTTATAACTAGCAAATACGCGACTGTATATTGCTTTTCCTGGGAGTGATTAAAGCTTATTGAATAACAATTTAATTGAAGCAGCAACTGTTGCGCTTTGCTCATTATTGCTAGCATCACACTAGAAAGTCCTTGTATTTTTACCCGTAAATTGCATAAAATTATCATAATGTTTTGAGGAGGCGTCACAGAAGTGTGGTGACAAATTCTGAAAAGCGAAATTGGGCACACCATAAGAATTATAAGGCGAAAAATGACAGGAACTATAAGAAAAAAATGATAAATACAGCAAAGAGAAAAATAGTAGATGATAAAGTAGCACTACGAAGTACTGCTCGGTTCACAGTAGCACTTTAGCATTACTGTAATAGCATGCACAGCACCACCTGCGAGACTGTAATGACTATTCCTGTCAGTGGCTGCTATGCAATTCTTAATCCTTATGATGTATTCTATCTCCTTCGTAAGTTTGTCGTACTATTTTTTAGATGCCCTGTGTAAGTCCTTAAATGTGCCAAGACTTAAAAGCAGACATATTCAAAATGTACCATTTAGAAATACACCAACGGTTGCATGGCAATGAAAAATTTGAAATCATATTTTATTCTTTTTCTAATTGCTATAGTTTACGTATTCTGCCTTTATTGTGAAAATTTTAGAGTAAATCATTAACCAAAACCTATTAGATTATTCCAATAGTTAACATATTTTAGCTAGCCAATTTCTCCATCTTCCATAGCTCTTATATTTCCATACGTTATAATCCTAACGTCATATGTAATGGAAACAAGTCAGATTATTACTTATAAGATTATATTAGGATTATTATAGAGCCGTAATAATTATTATATGACTGTAAGATAGGTTCGTATAAATAGTGTATATAAATATAGTGCCGTATAACTAGGTTCGAACCTCACTCTGAGAATATTGGGATTAAATATTCCATTCCGTTTTAAGAAGAGATAAGAATGTGTTGGTTGGAACAGGCATTTACTGTTAAAGTGTAATGCTAAGGCAATTTTTACAGTTACATTTATTTTTGTATATTTATGTTATTTTGTTATTTATTTGAGGATTGTTTGTACTTGTAACATTGTAAATTTTTAATGTATTAACTTTTTCCTTAAAGCAAGCTTCAGTTATCTCTGAAGTCTTCTGCAAAGTTTTTCTGTGTGAAAATGCTTTAAAATATTTTTTACTATCTCTATCATAACCCTGATATTCCCTTAATTGATTGCTATTTTTCATTTTTCAGGAATTGGATATGCACAGATAATATCTGCGTCATACGTTGCGATATTTTATAATTACTTAATGGCATTAAGTGTATTTTACATCTTTTCATCAATGCAAAGCTGCCTACCATGGACTGCATGCAACATCTTAAACGAGTCAATGTCGCTAGTAAGTGTTTCTAGTAAAATGGCACAAGGTGTAAACTAAATGGCTCATTATAAATAGACAGTCCATTGAAAATGTATGAATCGCTTAGGCTAACCTATATTTTGATTAATAAAAAAGGTTTTAATTATAGATTTTAATGTTTATAAAAAAGTTTTAATAGCATAAAATAAGAAAAAATTTGTCTTTTAAGTTTCTTGAAGAAATACCATGAAATATCTTTGACATTTTTCCAGTTCCCAATTTCATGAATTTTTGTTGCAGTTGCACAAATTTTGTTTAAATAGTTTGCATTTATAATGTTCTAAAGATGCAAAAGATATAATTTACTCGATTTTATATGTTATATTCGATGAAAAGAAATATTTCTTTTTAGGAGTTATTAAAAGATTTATTTTCTAATTTAGAATGTGTCTCTTTCTGATGACATGGCTATGTCTGAATATTTTTGGCGGTAAGTTATAAATATTTTTCCGAATTTTAAATGTGTTTATCAAATATTTTTTAAGGAAGTTGGAATTTTAAAATCTTCTTATATACTGTTAGAAGGGATCATAGGTATCATAACTTCGTAAATATTATAGTATTTTATGCGATATCTTATGATAAAGCTAATTTGAATCATGTAATTTAATTAAATCTGTGAAACTTAAACATAATGTTTTAATTAAATTTTGAAATTAATTTGTCATAATTTATAACATTTTTAATTAATGCATATGTCATTACTTTAAAATAAAAATGGATGAAATAGAAGAAAATTCTAAATTTTTGAATCTTTTAAAATTGCTATTAAATCGGGCTCTAGTTGAGATGAGGAAAAATTGACCATTTTAAAAAAAACATTTTTTGGAGAAAACAATTTTTTTAAAAATATGAATCTTTCATTGAGTTTATAGAAATGTGTTATAGGTTTCCCGTAGTAGTTAAACCTCCATAAAGAAAAAGAAAAGATGTTGAGACAAAATACCTCTGTTGTTTGGGCTAATGGGGTCTCTATGAACAGGTTTGAGTACAATATGCCAAAATCTCTTGAATGCATTCGTAAAAAGGTGTTAACTAATTAAAATATCAAACTTTTAAAAACCATAACTCTATATTTTATCAGATAAAAGGAGGGACGGTAAAACTGATGGCATTGTACAATTGCCTTAAAATAATTTAGCACTTTTTTCTTTTTTTCTTTATATAATGTGTCAAATTTTAAAAATATTTGTGCAATATTTATCCTTTTAACATTTTATAGATTTGGCACCTTTTACACATGCGAAATACTAATTATTTTTATAAAAAGAATTACTATAATTGAATAGCTCCGATACTAGTGAGGTGCTCATGCTCTAACACAATAGTTTAAGATGGATGTTTGAGACAGTCTATTTAACAGCCTGGGTACCTTTCCATTAAACAGGCTGTAAAATCAAGACATTGTACAGATTTCAGACATCCAAAAAATGCAAAAGTTTATGTTTTTCGCAATCGTTTTATCCGAATTTGTCTTTAAATTGAAATGATGTTGGAAAAAAAATGCTAAATGATGTAGGAAAATATTTTTCACGAAATATTAAAAGGGAGTATTGATTGCTTTGAAAGTAAAATACTTAAGGAGAACAAACATTTTGAATTAAAGAAATGAAATAATTTCCTAAACCATTTCTATAACCAATTATATAAGTGATATTTATTTTGAGTTGAGTATGAAAATTCATTGTTGGAAAAAACGAAATATATGCGAAGTTGAATTTATGTCCAAAGTTGGTTTAATTTATGTCCATGTTTTTTTAAGCAATCTATTACTACAATTTAGTAATCTATTACTACAATGTCTAGATGTACATAGCTCGTGGCTACATTATCATGGCTAGGTTGGCATAGGCTACTCCATTGTTACAATTCCCGGTTGTTGAGCTCAGGGCATGAAGCGTTCGCCTTCCAATGAGGTGAACCGGGCTCGAATCCAAGCGATGACTGGTCGCACCCATGTAACGCAAATGTTGGCTAGTTCCATCAAAAAAGTCCTCCACGAAGACAAACTTCTAGCAATACTTGAACCAGGAGTTCCCTTGTCTTCTGGAATTTTAAACCTGAAATTGGGTCAGCTGTTCAACGCCGGTTATAAAATAAAATAAAATGCAAATTTCCTTTTGTGAGAAATAAATGGGTAAAACACGACTTCTATTTTTATGACAAATATGAGTAGCATTTCTAAGGCAAATACCATTGACAAAAATTTTACTTTTATTTAAAAACTAAGAAGCTAAAAATTATAGAGTGATTTAATATTTTAAAGTAATGTTTTAGAGAAACAATATATGTTTAAAGAAATAATATTACATTTAATATGTAATTTTTATTGATATTATAATAGTTTTTTTAATCACAATACCACAGTGTGTATTTTTTATTTCTTAAGACATAAACTCTTTTGATTTTTTTTAAATAGGACTGAAGTTCTACAGAAGCAAGTAGATACTGATTACTTAACTATAAACTGGAAGCTAGTTTTATGCCTGTTACTGACATGGACTATAGTGTATACTTCAGTCATTCAAGGAACAAATTCTTTAGGAAAAGTAAGTGAGATCATTTAATGAATCTCATAATTTTATTGACTTTGAGAAAGAAGTTGATTTTTGCATTTTTCTTAAAGAGTTTAAAGCTGTGTTTTGGGAAAGTTTAAGCAAAAATCCTTTTCTGTGATGAGAATTCATTAAATTGTCTGTTTTTTTTAATGCAAAATAAAAGTAATATTCAGTGAAATAAATAAAAAATTTATTAATTTTTTAATAAAAAGTTCTTTTACTTAAATTTTTACACTGTAAAAAATTATGGATCAAATTACGGTATAAAGTACCGACACTTTGAAGTGTATCATAAGTAAAATCCTTTTTACCGTAAAATATTATTTCATAAATTTTACAGTAATATTTATTCAAATAGAGTGATTCAGTGATTTTAAGTTAATAATTACTATTTCAAATTACGGTATATCAGATTTTTGGTTATGTAACATGTTCTTAACTAAAAATGGATTTTATGGTAAAAAGTACAGGCATCCTGAGTGCCGATCGTTTTTACAGTAATCTACAGTGTAGGTAGACAGACAATTTTCTTTTTTCCGTTCCTTTTTTTGTACATATTGCTTTTTATTTAAGTTTTATCAGATCTTATAGTTTAAGATCTTAACATCTTTATTTCACTTTCTTCAAAAAAATTATAATCAAAAGTTGTTGCTAGATATAAAACATTAAGCTCTCAAAGAAAGTTGAGTTTAATAAATTTTATAAATTTACGAATTTGATGCAATTAATTAGTGTTTTCTTATACAATCTTCTATTCTTACTAACACATTATTATTGAAATATAAATTTCAATCAAAAGTTGGGGAATATTCAGAAATATTTGTTGAATGCAATTAATGTTTTTAATTACATTTCTTTTCACTGGAAAGCAAAATTCTTATTTATTTTATAGTTACTAACCAGTTTAATGCGTTTGACGGAATTAGAAAAACCAGTTCATGAAGTTTCAGTGATATCAAATACAGTAACAAGTTTTTTTAATTATAATATATCAATTAAAATTCCTCTTGATTTGTAAGAATTCATATATTTATTACATATTATTCCAACTATAAATATACGTTCGTAAATAAAATTTCGAGTGTGGAGATTTCAAACTCGAAATAAGCTTTGCTCCCATTGATGCAGTTCTTTAAAATGACATTTTAGTCTATTTTTTCTCGAAGTATACTAGTTTAAAAATGTTATACAAAACAAGGTGTCGCATAAATATTGCGACAAACTTCTATGGGAGTTAAGGCTTATCATCAGGATTAAAATAGCATAGGAACACATGTCATTGAGTGTCGTCGTAAGCAGCTAGAGACGCTTTCCCTATAATGATTTGTTCAGAAGCTCACGAAGAAATAGTTCACAATAGGGAAGCGTCCCCAGTGGAGTATGGTGACCTTTCTGGCCATGGGTTCCTATGCAATTTTAATTGTGATGATGTGCCCTATATCTTCTTATCAGCAGCATTTATGCTATCTGCCGTTATATATAACGTTCTTACACTTAAAAAATTGAAAAAAAATAAACTAAAAAAATATCCTTTAAAAAAATCCGTAGCTTGGAGAGAAAAACTGATTGTGGATTTGTAATCAGTGATACGAAAAATATCTAAGATCTTTTAAAAAATTCTCCTTCAGAAATTTTTTCTCCCAGTGTTATTTATATTAGATAAACTTGTTTCATATTATGAAATAAATTCTTATTCAACGCGATGCATAGTTGGAGCTTATTGCAGAATGACAATAAAGTTCTTTCATTAAAAAATATCACATTCTGTTTCTTTTCCAATATTTTTCACAATTGCTTTTTTTTTATACAGTTTTAAATTTTATTTTTCTGAAGTTTACTAATTGGAGTACAGCACTAAAAATTCAATATGTTTAAAATTGGAAAATTTTGTCCAGAAATTATTACTTTCATNTTTGAAAGTAAAATACTTAAGGAGAACAAACATTTTGAATTAAAGAAATGAAATAATTTCCTAAACCATTTCTATAACCAATTATATAAGTGATATTTATTTTGAGTTGAGTATGAAAATTCATTGTTGGAAAAAACGAAATATATGCGAAGTTGAATTTATGTCCAAAGTTGGTTTAATTTATGTCCATGTTTTTTTAAGCAATCTATTACTACAATTTAGTAATCTATTACTACAATGTCTAGATGTACATAGCTCGTGGCTACATTATCATGGCTAGGTTGGCATAGGCTACTCCATTGTTACAATTCCCGGTTGTTGAGCTCAGGGCATGAAGCGTTCGCCTTCCAATGAGGTGAACCGGGCTCGAATCCAAGCGATGACTGGTCGCACCCATGTAACGCAAATGTTGGCTAGTTCCATCAAAAAAGTCCTCCACGAAGACAAACTTCTAGCAATACTTGAACCAGGAGTTCCCTTGTCTTCTGGAATTGTAAACTCGAAATTGGGTCAGCTGTTCAACGCCGGTTATAAAATAAAATAAAATGCAAATTTCCTTTTGTGAGAAATAAATGGGTAAAACACGACTTCTATTTTTATGACAAATATGAGTAGCATTTCTAAGGCAAATACCATTGACAAAAATTTTACTTTTATTTAAAAACTAAGAAGCTAAAAATTATAGAGTGATTTAATATTTTAAAGTAATGTTTTAGAGAAACAATATATGTTTAAAGAAATAATATTACATTTAATATGTAATTTTTATTGATATTATAATAGTTTTTTTAATCACAATACCACAGTGTGTATTTTTTATTTCTTAAGACATAAACTCTTTTGATTTTTTTTAAATAGGACTGAAGTTCTACAGAAGCAAGTAGATACTGATTACTTAACTATAAACTGGAAGCTAGTTTTATGCCTGTTACTGACATGGACTATAGTGTATACTTCAGTCATTCAAGGAACAAATTCTTTAGGAAAAGTAAGTGAGATCATTTAATGAATCTCATAATTTTATTGACTTTGAGAAAGAAGTTGATTTTTGCATTTTTCTTAAAGAGTTTAAAGCTGTGTTTTGGGAAAGTTTAAGCAAAAATCCTTTTCTGTGATGAGAATTCATTAAATTGTCTGTTTTTTTTAATGAAAATAAAAGTAATATTCAGTGAAATAAATTAAAAATTTATTAAATTTTTAATAAAAAGCTCTTTTAATTAAATTTTTACACTGTAAAAAATTATGGATCAAATTACGGTATAAAGTACCGACACTTTGAAGTGCATCATAAATAAAATCCTTTTTACCGTAAAATATTATTTCATAAATTTTACTGTCATATTTATTCAAATAGAGTGATTCAGTGGTTTTAAATTAATAATTACTATTTCAAATTACGGTATATCAGAATTTTGGTTATGTAACATGTTCTTAACTAAAAATGGATTTTATGGTAAAAAGTACAGGCATCCTGAGTGCCTATCGTTTTTACACTAATTTGATCCGCAATTTTTTACAGTGTAGGTGGACAGACAATTTTCTTTTTTCTGTTCCTTTTTTTGTACATATTGCTTTTTATTTAAGTTTTATCAGATCTTATAGTTTAAGATCTTAACATCTTTATTTCACTTTCTTCAAAAAAATTATAATCAAAAGTTGTTGCTAGATATAAAGCATTAAGCTCTCAAAGAAAGTTGAGTTTAATAAATTTTATAAATTTACGAATTTGATGCAATTAATTAGTGTTCTCTTACACAATCTTCCACTCTTACTAACACATTATTATTGAAATATAAATTTCAATCAAAAGTTGGGGAATATTTAGAAATATTTGTTTAATGCAATTAATGTTTTTAATTAAATTTCTTTTCACTGGAAAGCAAAGTTCTGATTTATTTTATAGCTACTAACCAGTTTAATGCGTTTAACGGAAAGAGCACAACCAGTTCATTAAGTTTCAGTGGATATCAAATACAATATCACGTTTTCTTTATTATAATATGTCAATTAAAATTTCTCTTTATTTATAAGTATTCGTATATTTATAACATAAATAATTCTAACGATAAATATACGTTCGTAAATAAAATTTTGAGTGTGAAGATTTCAAATTCAAAATTAGCTTTGCTCCCATAGCTATAGTTTTTGGAATGACATTTTTAGTCTATTTTCCTCGGAATATACTAATTTAGAAATGTTTTATAATACAGGGTGTCGCATAAGTATTGCGGCAAACTTCTATGGGAGTTAAAGCATATCATCAGGATTAAAATATCATAGGAACACATGTTATTGAGTGTCGTCGTACGCAGCTAGAGACGCTTATCCCATAATGATTTGTTCAGAAGCTCACTAAGAAACAGTTCACAATAGGGAAGCGTCCCTGACGTATGGTGACTCTTCCAGGCATGGGTTCCTATAAAATTTTAATCATGATGATGTGCCCCATATCTTTTGTAAGTTTGCAGCAGCATTTATACTATCCGCCGTTATCTATAACGTTTTTAAATTTAAAAAAACTGACCAAAAATAGACTAAAAAAGTATCTTTTAAAGAAATCCACAGCTTGGAGAGAAAAACTGATTGTAGATTTGAAATCAATGATAGGAAAATATCTAAGATCTTTAAAAAAAATCTCCCTCAAAAAAATTTATTCCCAATGTTATTTATATTAGATAAATTTGTTTCATATTATGAAATAAATTCTTATTCAACGCGATGCATAGTTGGAGCTTATTGCGGAATGACAATAAAGTTCTTTCATTAAAAAAATATCACATTCTGTTTTTTTTCCCAATATTTTTCACAATTGCAATTTTTATTATACAGTTTTAAATTTTATTTATCTGAAGTTTATTAATTGGAGTACAGCAATAAAAATTCAATATTTTTAAAATTGAAAAGTTTTGTCAGGAAATTATTGTTCTCTTAATATTTGTCATGTTTCAGATTTAGACTAAGATTTGTCTTGTTTTAGGTTGTTTTAAATAAGGTTTTTACTGTACTTCGTTTACGTGGTACTTTGATTTTATTGAAATTATTCATACACTGTTAAAAATTTCTGAAAAAAATATGGTTAAATATCAGTTTATGTAATTGTTAATTGCCAACTGTGAGAAAAATCATTTATTGACTGCTTTCACCTAATACGGTTAAACAACTGGAATTTTATCCGCGGAAATTAGGTTCACCTTATGAAGCCGCTAAGTTCCTTGCAGCTAGGTACATACTACATTCGAAAGGGCTAATCTGTCAATCTCATGACCGATAGAATGAGGATTCCAATAGCAGCGTTGACTCTACAATATTTCTTTCATTCCATCAACAAGCGAAGAGTTTTCTGACTCTTGAACTTCCCACTCGGTGACTCTGGACTTGTAAAACGTAAAACTCTCTTTCATGCATAGATGACAGCACCTGATTAACACAAAAAAATTTCATATTTTCTATCTCACACGATAGATGGCACCCCTAGATAAACTAGTTAAGCCCCATTCCATGGGCTTAATTAGTTTATCCCAATTTCATGGTTCCCAATTTCACGGTTTTGAAACCATATTAGTTGTAAATGCTTACAAAACGATATAGTTTAGCATTCCTGTTTTTTTTTTAATTATACCAGTTATAAATGGTTTAAAAACTGTAAAGAAATGTTCTTAACCGTAAACTTTATGGCTAATTGAATAAGCATACCTCTGTAGGTTATTTTTACTGTAATTTTGGAATGAAAGTTCTTACATTGTATCATGCATTGAAATAGAATCAGTAATTATCCATTTCAAATTTTTTTTCCGCAGTAAATAATATTAAGTAAATAATTATCTAAGTTAAATTAGGTTCTTCATTTCAGATGTCATATTTTACAGCAATTTTTCCTTTCTTTGGTCTTATTTGCTTGCTTATTATCGCTTGCTTAGAAGAAGGCGCAGGAGAAGGCATTAAATTTTTCTTCAAGCCAGATATTGAGAAACTAAAAGACGTTAACGTAAGTAATTAAAAATACATAAGCGGATGTATTTTAATATTCTATTTAATAAAAATTTAATAATAGCACTTTCCCTTTTTTAAATTCTTTTTGTTTGACATAAGTTGCTTTTTACATATTGCATTATGTTTATATGCACTAAAGTATTTAAAAGTGTAATGATTAATTGTTTTTTAGACATAATGAGATAAAGTTAAATGTTAGTACTTCTTCAAACAAAGGGATTAAATATAAGTCAGTTAAGTCATTTAAATATGTACTGAATATATTTTAACGCAAAATAACACCTTTTCCTTTTAAATTTTTTACCACAATCCTTAGAGACTTTTGATAAAAAAAATAAAAATTGAAACGAGAAAGATTTTTATTGCTGTTAAGAACATTATTCCTTTAATTTTAAGTCATAATATATTTTCGTCCGCATAAATAAACGAATACTCTTGAAAAATATATGTAAATTTTATGATCCTATAAATATTTTATTCAATTTCGGCCATATTTGGTACTCTTATTAACTTTGTGACTTAAATTTAAAAAATTAAACAGATGGGTTTAAGTTTAATATTTAATTATATTTATTAATATTAATATTTTCTGTTATTGCATACAAAATAAAAAATAACACTTAAATTCCTTAAAAAAATTTTTCAACATAAATTTCAGATTAAAATCAACTATAATTTTAAAATATTAAAATAAAACTCTAATATCCATGTATTGCAGTTTGGTATGTGAGTTTTATTTTATTAGTTTTCATTAAAATTGAAGTGTAACTTCTTATCATTACAATATTAACAAATGACTAATTTTAACTCTAATGACTATAATTATCATAAATAGTTCATTAAACTTTCATTCTTAAATTAAAAAATTAAAGAACATATTATTATTGATGGCTCGATGTTTTTAAGTTTAATGAATTGTAAGAGCATTATTTATAATTGTATATTGGTTAGAAATTAGTTAAGAAATATTTAGAAATTAGGCATGATAGAAAAACAATATTAATAATGTTTTTGAATTACAAAGGATGAAAGTATGTGTGCTGTATTATATGCTTGTAGGAGAAATAATCTTGCTAGTTTCTTTATAAATTTTTTTATTAATATTAAGGGACATAATGAGATATGAAATTATAATGAAGCTTAACTTCAAAAGAAACAGTCAAGAGGGCTTATGAAATATTGAAAATAATGAGACTGATGTGAAACACGTTAAAAAAATGCAAAATTTTTAATGATTATATATGTTTTTAAATTTATTTCTAGTTTATTATTTTCTTTATTACAAATGCTATTTTTAACTAAGTATTTGTTTTAAATTTAACTATGATATAACGACACATCTATTTGAGAACACAGTTTTAATTAAACTCTGTTTATATTTAAAAATTAAAAATCCTATTTTAACGAAAATATATAATAAATGCCTCCAACTATATTTAATAGTTTCATCTACAAACTATTTTTTCTAGGTATGGTACAAAGCAACGGAGCAATCATTCTTTTCTTTGAACATAGCCTATGGTAGTATAGTAATGATTGCAAGCTACAATAAATTCCACCACAATATTTACAGGTAAATATTACCCCCGAGGACATTTTTCATCTAAGTATTTAATACTCTGAGTTAAAATATTATTTGAAAGAATGAATTTGATTATTTTACCCATTCGATTCATAATTTCTAGAACTTATTATTTTAATTTACTAGATTTGATGGCTTGCAAGCATTTTTTACACATAGAAAAAAAATTCTGGTTAAATTACCATATTTTAATAATATTTCGAGCAATAGAAACCAATACATACGGTATTTAAAGCATTCATTTGGTACGGTTTGTTGGAAATTCTTGTTTTCGAAATTATAGTTCTTATTATCACATATTAAAAAGATAGAAAACTGAAAGTTAATTTCACCGAATAAATGGTTTTTATCCAATTCTCTAAGGCATTATGATAAAATTATAAAAATTTTACAATCTTTACCAACTTTTATCACATATTATAATGCTTTATTTCATTCTTAATTTACCAAATCATTACCAAAGCACTTCGATAAAAATTACTGTGCTTTTTGGTGTTCCCGTAGAGCCAAAAACTTAGTTTATACCATATTTTGGTATTTTTGACCAGACTTTTTTTCTCAGTGTGATTAGTTACGGAGATAATTTTACTTCAAAATATGGAAGGTATCTGTAATTGTAATATTTAAACTGATGTAACTTTTTCTAACTGTTCTTTTTTTAAATTTATTTAGAGATGCGATAATTATTAGTGTTCTCGATACAATTGTAAACTTATTGGCAGGATGTGTCAGTTTTGCAGTACTGGGATCACTGTCTTATAAGTATTCTAAGAATATAACAGAAGTTGTTGATCATGAAGGTAGGAATTTTTCAGTATAGCAAAATTTTAATTCAAGAATTACTGTGTCCTTATAATAAAGTAATGAAATATATTTTCATATGATAATATTTCTTCATATATTTTAAAAAATATGTGCAAAAATTAGGTTATGTATTTTGTACAACTTATAAGCAATCTAAGAACAGTATGTGTTTTTTTTATTCAACTTGATCAAGTTCTTAGCTAGATCAAGTGCAGAAGACCGCTCGCCCACAGAAAGTCACGAACAGCACAGGAAGAGATCACTAAAAATAATATGTGTTGTTTTTTCTTATTTAATTTGATTCAGTCCTTAGCTAGATCCAGCCCAGAAGACGCTCAATCGATTAATTATATGCGAGTTATTAGAAAAATATTAACTTATCTAACCTAACCTGTTTTTTTCTTCACTAATTTTATTACAAGACTGAAATATGACAATTATCCCATAGGCTTAGGATTGGCATTCATAGTATATCCAGAAGCTTTAGCTAATATTTCGTATGTACCTCAGTTATGGTCTGTCTTGTTCTTTTTTATGCTTTTTGTCCTCGGAGTTGGAAGTTCGGTAAGTCTAAAATATTTTATATATTTTAATATGGTTACGTATCACTTCTACTTTAAAACTAACTAACTAACTCAGTGGCGCGACAGCCCATTAAGAGGGCCAAGGCCGACTGTGCCCATCTCAGTTTTCTTGACCTTGGGCTCTGGGGTGCAGGAGCATATGTTCCGGTCAGGTGGTCAGCCGAACGCGGACTTTAAAATGAATGTAATTTAAATAGTTTATAAATGCTACAATTTAAGTAAAAAATATTGTGTATATTTGCAATATTGTATATATATTAACTGCAATTCAAATTTGTATTATTTTATTTATAATAAATAGTTCATAAAGCAAAATTTTTTCTCGCGGCAGCCTTCTGCGGAGGTTCAATTATCAGAATTATTTGACCAACTGTGGCAACATGTGTAACTATGGCAATCTCATGATGCAACTGTGGCAATATAGCTAGCATATGCACAATGCTATACTTTTTTCCCTGATAAGTTTATCCCAGATAACTACCAGATCTATTCATCTGAAGCTAGTTGGGGTTCAAGCCGCTAATGGGGATTGAACCCTGTCTTTCAAAATGATAGCTCACTGACAAAGCCCTTATCCAACGAGCCATCGCGATTGAAATAGTTCATACTTATTACAACTCAAGTCGAAAATACTATATACAAATTTAAATATGACTTTTTAGTAATTAGTTTTAGATAAAAACTAGTTTAAATAGTTTAAAAATATTACAATGCAAGTCTGAATTATAGAATACTTCTTTTACAGGGTTTTCTGTCATTGCAAGTAGTATTAGTTTTAAGTGAAAATTTATGTCAATAGTTTAAAAGTATTGAGTAAAATTCTTTAACAAGTTTGTTTTCTTGTTAACAAATTGTTTGTTTTGTAACTTTTTTTTCCTCTTTCCTCAGATGTCAATGATAGAAACACTATTGACAGTTCTGAAAGACAGATTTCCAAGCCTGAGACAAAGAAAATGGCTCATCGCTTTAGTTATTTGTATGCTTTTTTGTGCTTTAGGAATACCACTTACTACGAGTGTGAGTTCAAATTCGTATTAGATAATTGTATGTAGTATGTAAAAATATTTTTATATTTTTAATTTGTACAAGCACTGCGTTTTCTCAATCTTTTAGTTTAATATAATTATTCATTAATTGTGATATAAGAATATTATGGTATGGAAGTTTTCAAGTTTATTCTAGCTTAAAATTCAATTTTTGGGAGAAATACGTAAGGAAAAATAATTTTATAGAAAATGCTTGTAGGTTTAAAATCAATCGCAACAAATTTTGCATAAAAATATGCGAATTAAATTAGGCTTTGTTTGACCTTTTAGGGAAAATTTTTCATAAGCATTTTGACAACTACACACATGGGTTATTATAAATATTATCTTTAAAGAGTATTTTTAGAATTCTTTTCAAAGATTGAAAGGAAAAATATGCATATTGAGATTTGAAAATATAGTATCACTTCTATGTCTCCTGCCGCAATCAAACATGTTTTGGTGTTTCGTACATTCGCCTTTCTTAATTGTGATTTGTCAGATTTTGATTGGGTTATTTCTTTTTTCTTGTTTGAATCATAATTTAGGATCGTCGAGGTAAATATTACACTTTTCCCCCCTCAATTTTGATAAAGATTTTTGTGTATATTAAAGTTAATCCTTATATTATATCCTATATATATTTAGAGAAAAATCGGGGTTAAACTAAATACTGGAGTGAACTTTTTCACAAGTATTTAAATTTTCTAATGAGTAATAAAATATTTTATATTGTTTTTATTTCCAGTATTACGTACATTTTTTATTCAAATCCAGAAATCATTATTGTGTTGACCAATTGACTTTTTTCATACTGTTTCAAATTATGTCAAAAATGGTGAAAAAATATGGTCAAAGCTATAAGAATATCGCAAAATTCAATGAGTTTCTGGTAGTTCTTTGAGAACACTAAAAAGTGTCGTAATTTCTTATCGTGCTTTGGTAGTAACTTTTGGTAAAATTAACAATTAAACGTAGTTTTATTATCATGCTGTTTGATAATAAATGTGGTAAAATTTTGTATTTTGACAATACTAATTTTGACAATACTAGTATAACTTGAGATGGTGAAAAATGTTTAATTTGATAATCTCTATTTTGTTTAACAAATACTTCTTAACTTTGTTTTTCGTCGGTTAATTATTTTTATTTCTATTTAAGTTATAAGCTAAGATCTACCAATCCTGAAAACTATAAAAAAATTTTATTTGTAAGGATAAAAACACGTGGACAAGGCGAAACTAAATCAATAGCTTACCAATCTAGTTACCAACTAAGGTTGTCCCAATGTCCTAAACGAGGAGCGTAGAATTAGGGGGGCGAACCCCACTGCCAGCAGTTTTTATCCGATTTGTGCTATCTGTTTTTTAAATTTGAAAGAATTTTTAAGCCATTCGTTGCAGTACCTAAGAAACCCACCTATGTAAGTGAATAAATATAAAAATCCTACAACCTCCATAAAAGATGTACACAACAGATATCACAGATTGAGTTTTCCGAGTGCAGAATTTGTAAACACATGAAAGCATCTTTTAGGTATTTTTTCTTTTTGTAATAATCATGAACTATGTTAGAAAAATATATAATTAACCATCCCCTAACTCCATTCCACCATTAAAATAAATTAAAATCCGCCATTAAAATATTTTTTTTTTTAATATTGGCCTTTAATAAGACCAATATTAAAAAATCTAGACATCCCAATATTGGTCCTCGGTATATGTTCATATGGACCCATATTGAGCCGATTTTGAGACCAACTGGTGGCCAATTTTGAGCTTAACTAGGTAAAATTGTTGTTAGGGCATTCTATTTGGTTAAAGGCATACACGTCAGAAGGAAAAAAATTACCAAATAAATTTTAAAATGAATGATAGTTCTGAAGTATGTTTTGGTAATTTTATCGTGATGCATTAGATCATGGCATAAAAACCATTCATTCTATAAAATTTACTTTTCAGTTTTGTATTTTTACTAAATGTAGTATAATAAGAACTATAATTTTGAAAACCAGAATTTTCGGCAAAATGTAACCAAAGTGTACGGAAAAATTACTAAATGAAAATCTTAATTACCGTACATTTTGATTTAATATTAGGAATTGTTTTTTCTACCATAAATGTATTTACCATACGAGTATTTTGTACAATTATTTTACCACAATTTTTTTTCTCTGTCTGTGGTGATTTTTTTATTAAATCTAAGTATTTTATTATTTTTATAGTCTGGGCAAACGATTTTGGTTCTGTTGAACAACTATGGAGTAGGTGTTGCTATATTCTTTTATGCTGTATTTGAAGTTGTTGGTGTGACATGGATATATGGTGAATATTTGAAAATATTTTTGTTTTTAAGTTCAGTACCGACTATTTGAATTTTGTATTAAATATTTAACAATGCACAAATTAATTTTTAAGCTCATAAATCTAATCTAATCTAAAATTTAATTTAAGATAAACTAGAAATGCTGTTGAATATGTTTTAAAAAATTGATATAGTTTATAAAATTTAAAAAGAAATTTTTAATAACAATGCCTATTTTTATTTAAAAATTAGTTAATCTTAGCGTTATCTAGAATATAAAACCAATTATACAGTTTTATAAAGCTTTAAAATTTTTTCTTGGGCTTTAAGCATTTGGAGGTTTTGAGGTAAGAATGGTTTAGATCTATGTTTTGCAAAAATGACAATTGGATCGCAATTGGTTGCATTTTAAGAATTACTGAATTTCGACAAATCAATAACATGGAAAATCAGTTTTCTCCGAAAGTTACTACACACTGAAGATGGGTCCATCAAAAATAAATAAATAAATAAATTTAAAAAAAACGTGTCCTTTTCGACTTGAAATTCATTTTTTTCTCTTGGAATTAGCATTCATGGACGTATATGGTTCTTTCCCCTTGCTCTTCATTTTTGACAGCTGTTGCGTTGAAAAATTACAAACTCATTATTAATTAGATTGTAATTATGTTGCAGGTTTTTTGTGATGAATAATTTTGAAAAACGTATTAAAAGATACATTTAATTGTAATTAAACTCGTTTTTTTTTGAATAAGTTATATTTAAAACGTATTATAAAATGATTTTTCAAAATGATCTGTACAGAATTCATAACATAAGACAAAAACATTGACTTTTTTCATGCTCAATGTATTTGATAAGGGCTCAAAAAGAGTTATTATAATTTAAAGAGATTTTAAAATGTATAGTTTAAATGCATTTTATTAACAAAAATATAATTAAATGCATTTTAATTATTTGCTTTTTTAATTTTCCTGATTGTTCATTTTAGGTTTGAACAGCTTTTGTAAGGATGTTACATATATGCTTAATAAACCTCCGGGAATATTTTGGAAAATTACTTGGGCTGTTACTGCCCCAGTTGCTTTGACGGTAAGATCATACTTAAAAATAAGATATCATCTTGTAATTTATTGGTTATTAAACTGTTATTGGTGGTCCATAATCACTTCCTTACTTATACATTATAAGAATCCTTGGAAAAAACAAAGCTACGAAATCACACGTATTACACAGTTAAAAAATTCCGGATCAAATTACGGTACCTCCTTGACTACATCGATTTAACTCTTTAGAAATGGCATACTGCAAAAAATTCCGAATCAAATTATGGTAAAAAGTAACTTTGTTTACCTCCTTGACTACTTCGATTTAACTCATCTGAAATGGCATACTGTGAAAAATTCCGGATCAAATTACGGTAAAAAGTAACTTTGTTTACTTCCTTGACTATTTCGATTTAAGTCTTCTGAAATAACATACTGTAAAAAATTCCGGATCAAATAACGGTAAAAAGTAACTTTGTTTACCTCCTTGACTACTTCGATTTAACTCTTCCGAAGCGGCATACTGGAAAAAATTCCGAATCAAATTATGGTAAAAATTAACTTTGTTTACCTCCTTGACTATTTCGATTTAACTCTTCTGAAATAACATACTGTAAAAAATTCCGGATCAAATTACGGTAAAAAGTAACTTTGTTTACCTCCTTGACTATTTCGATTTAACTCTTCTGAAGTGGCATACTGTGTAAAATTCCGAATCAAATTACGGTAAAAAGTAACTTTGTTTACCTCCTTGACTATTTCGATTTAACTCTTCTGAAATAACATACTGCAAAAAATTCCGGATCAAATTACGGTAAAAAGTAACTTTGTTTACCGCCTAGACTACTTCGATTTAACTTTTCTGAAATGGCATATTGTAAAAAATTCCGGATCAAATTACGGTAAAAAGTAACTTTGCTTACCTCCTTGACTATTTCGATTTAAGTCTTCTGAAATAACATACTGTAAAAAATTCCGAATCAAATTATGGTAAAAAGTATAGCCACGCACGTAGCCGATACTAATTATCAGAAAATCTATTTTTACCGGATCATGTTATGGAACAAAACATCTGATGTACCGTAATTTTTACTGTAATAATTAACGTAAAATCACAGTGTAATTCAGCAAATATTACTATAATATACGGTAAAAATAGATTTTATAGTAAAATGGATATTACGGATGATGAACCCAAAGTGCTGAAACTTTATACCGTGATTCGATACATAATTTTTTACACTTTAGTTTCTTCAAATAAATATTTAAGTCGTCAGATTTTGATAAAGTTTTTCTTATTTTCTCCCCGAATTTCTTAAAATCAATTTTGAGAAGAATTCTAGGAATTTTTTATAAAGGGTGTTGATTACGGAACATCCCGTAATATGTTATGTTCTATTATGTTTATAGGTTACAGAAAGCATTTTTCTTTCACAGATAAAATTCCAAACTTTAAATTTAGAAATAATAAATTTATATTTAACTATAATGAATTTATATCTCACTATATTAAATTTATATCTAATTAAAATAAATTTTTTTGTTGCCACAATCTTTATATATCATTTATACAAAGTATGAATTTCATCAAAATTCGAAAAAAGATTCTTTCCGCTCCATTTGAAAAGGAATCTCTCAAGCATAAAAATCCCTGGATTAAATAAATTTTAATTAAAATTAAACTTATATTCAATAATTAAATCTCAGATAATATTTTATGTAAAATGAAAACACAATAAACACAAATTAATAATTAAGTTTTAATTTGTGTTATTTAAAATCCTTTTGTGTTAATTTCACTTGTCTTAAATTATGTTCATTCGTGTTGATTATTATTAAAAATATTAACCAGATTTTTAAGTAAAGAACAAAAGCAAATCAATGGGAAAATTTTGCAGTAACATTTAAAAACAGAATATTTGTATAACAAATGTTTTTTTGTTTAAAATATTCTGTTTCTAGAAATTTACTGAAAATTATTTATTATTGATTACGAATAAAAAAACATTTCTCTGTTTAGGTATATTATTATTTTAAAGTAAGCAGTATTTTCCCGTAAAAAACAAAAATATATTTTAAATAATCCTTGAAGTAAGTAAAAATAGACAGTGATAAGATAAAAAGGAATAAGTGATAAGAACATATAAGCTTGTTTTGCTCTGCAAGTAAAATTTAAATACTTTTTTTTTATTCTATTAAGAAGAAAAATGCTTCCGTGTTTTGATTTAAAGTTAATCTTTATTTTTTTAGAATTTGTAAATTTTATTTGAGGAATTATATGTTTTCAAAAGATTTTGTATTCATTGTGGAAAAATCTTTTATCTGGATAATACTTATTGCATAAAATAAACTTAAATCTGACTTAAGATGATAATTGAAGTGTACTTAAATTTTGAAAGAATATTTTCTTAAAAGTGCAATGTTCTAAAATAAGTTAATTACTGTTAGCTGTTATAGAAATAAAGAGGAATAATTTTTCAATATTTAATTGTTAAATTTTAAAACAATTTATATCTTTCCTTTTAAAAGACATTTTGATATGTATGAAATACTTTTATAAAACTTTTTAATCAATTTAAGGATAAATATTTTAGAAGGGTAAATATTTAGATCAGAAATTTTTATCAAAAATAAATATTTAGAAGAAACTTTCTTATTGAATAAAATAAATAATTAATAAGATAAATCAATTAAAACGAGAAAGATATAGATATTAAGCAAATGGCTTAATTTGGAAGATTTGGTAACCATAATATTTTTTTTTGAAACTAAGAGTATTTTGAAGAACTAAAGCAAATAAATAAATACAATGGTTTCAAAAACACGTTTTTTTTATTTTGACTTCTTTTTTTTTTTAAGTGTCACAATTATTTTATCTCAAAATTGTGTCTTCTGCATTTTGTAAACTTTATTTTTTGCAACTAATTTAGTTTTTATTTTAATATTTTTATGTTTTTTAAAGCATTTTGTAAATAATAGAATTGATTTTAATTTAAATAATCTCATCACTGGTATTTATCATCAATGAAGTCACCTGTATGAATTTTAATATTTGTGATAATGCTCAACTAAATAAATACTAGGAAAAACGTGTTTTCAAAACTACTGGAATATGGTAAAATTTAACGCTTTTCTGGGTCTCTGGAAACTGCGTCTGTGGTAATTTTTACCGAAGCTCTTCGGTAGAGATTTTGGTAAAATTAACAATAAAATATTATTTCATAATCTGTGATAAAATTTTGTAAAGGTAATTTTATCATTACCTTTACAAAATTTTACCTGAGAATCTGGTATAAAAACCATATATTCGGTTGAATTTACTTTTCGGTTTTGCATTTTTTAACTATACGTGTGGTAATAATAATTATGGTTTTGAAAAAACCAGAATTTGAAATAAATCATTATCCTACAAACCAAAACATTACCAAATTGTTTAAATACCGTGTATTTTAGTTTTATTAATTAGAATTATGTCTTGTTTTCACCAGAAATGTCGTTACCATACTGTGCAGTAATTTAAGCAGAATTTGTTCTCCATGCATAATCGGCATATATTTATTTAGATATAAATAATATTTTTCTAGGTATAATTGTAATGTACTTTACATGAGGTTAATTTAGCGGTGTATACTGAACAATAATAGACCCTATAATAAAAGAAAACTATTTTTCTATAGGCATCAAAAATAAGTAATTATTATAATAATTTTTCACTGGAATGTAATGAGATAAATATTAAAATTTCATTACCTAATATTGTCTGCTATTAGGTAATTACAGTAGGTTATCGTATTGTATTTTTGTATTTTTTAGAGCTAAATAAAGTTGTCTGATATAAAAATTCTTGTCTGACACAACAAAATAACAAATATAAATTATCGGTATCAGAAATAAGCAATATGATAATATAGTTTTGATTTATACTATCATTTTTATTTCATTTTGAAGATAGATACATGAATCTGAAATAAAGAATTTTATTAACTGCGAGTTGAATTTTTATTACAATATAAATAGTTAATGTGTCGTTATAATCTTCACTGTTAAGAAATGGGAAATTTAAAATCACCAAATTATCTCCTTTATAGCCATATGGGAACACCAAAAAGTCTTGTTATTTTAACCAAAGCTCTTTGGTATGATTTTAGTAAAATTAACAATAAAGTATAGTTTTATAATATATGATAAAATTTGGTAATTTTATAATGATATCATAGATAATGATATAAAAAACATTCATTTGGTTAAATTTGCTTTTCCGTTTTGAATTTTTTTACTAAATGTGTAGTAATAAAACTATAATTTTGAAAACCAGAATTTGCGGAAAAGTGTTACCATGTAAATGGGAAATCTGCCTGATGAATGGTTTAAATAGAATATATTTTGTTTTTGTTAACCAAAACTATTTTTTTGTTTGGTATTTTTTTACCAAAAATATCATTACTATAAAGTACGGTAATTTTACCAGAATATTTTTTCTAAGTACGTGTGTATTATAGCCTTAGTTTGTGTGCAAATCTGCTTTTATGCCGATTTTTTCAAATTCTCTAAAAATGCTTCTTGATATGTTTTCCATAAAACTCTTTACTTAATAATACTTTTAAAATTATTTATTAACTTTAGGTGATATTCCTATTCGGAGTAATTCACACGGAAACTGATAATAATCCTTCTGTACCTCAGTGGGCTACAATACTAGGGTGGATACTAGCTGCTTTTGCTCTAGTACAAATTCCACTTTGGTTCATTATAACATTGTACAAGGATTCCAGCGTTGGTATTGTTCAGGTAAAAGTAATTTATGTATTTCAAATTATTTGATGAATATGAATTTTTTTGCGAACGGATTTTATTGTAATTATTTATTCATAGTTAAAGTAAACATTTTGTAATGTTAAATTTTTTTATGATGCTTTTCAATAAATCTTTTGTCCCTGTGTAGGGAGCAGGGAACTGTCCTTGCATCAGAAAAGTCCTGGGTTCGAATCCCGGGAAAGGCATGGATGTTTCTTTCTCTCTCTGTGTGTTCTATGCCCTTTCTCCTTTGTGTGTGAATGTGACCCGCCATATAAACGTGTTGTGGTTGCGCGAATGGCGTGGCAGAAGTCGAATTCAGGGCCATAGATGGCGCTACTGAAAAACAGGAACAATCACACCCCCACTGCCTAAACAGGCAAACGACAGAAAAAAAAAATTTTTTTTTCAGAGAAGAACTAAAAATTCTCAGTACTGAGGGTTGGTATCTTTTTTAACAAATAATAAAACCCAAAAGTAATAAAGTATTAAAAGACCAAACAAATATTTTCGCAAAATAAAAATAAAAAAAAAAAACGACCGTTTTAATAACTTCTGATCAGGCGATCAGGTTTTCATGTACTAGAACTTAATCTTTATACTTCGAGGGTGCACTCTAAAATGTACTAATCAAATCGAGTAGGCGATATTATAAAAATACCGAAACAAAAACTTACTTTCTTTGATCAAATATATATTAGTCATTTGTTTCCGACGGATTTGGATTCTTGCCACTCAAGTACGGATGGAATCTGGAAAATATTGTTCCAAAAGTTTAGGCAGTTTATATTATTTGAAAATTTGAGTGCATTTATATTGAAGTAACTTTCTGCTCATTTCGCCATAACAAAGAATTTATATACATACAAATTTTGGATTTTGTCATTTAAAATAACGCAGATATAAATTGTGTAAAATTTTATGTATCTTGTTGTTCAAATTTTGTTTTCGCTCATTTTTTTTAACAGAGCAACTTATTCCATGTTATTTTATTAATAACAATATTGTTGACTAGCAAAAGTAATTCTATAATTTTCATATGATAAGTGAAGTTTTCAGGTCAATTTAGAAAACAAATGTCTAATAATAAAACATAAAATATTTAGCTTGTTAAAGTACTTTAAAAATTCCTAGTAAATTATTTAATAATAGATTAAATAATAAAATAATGTTTATAAATCAAATATCTATCATTCAAATATTCCTCACTTTTAATGTGAGCCTGGGGTGACACAAGACGGTTTTGTGGGAGAAGATTCTCTGGCCTTTGTTACCGCGTAGAGAAATCAACAGCATAGAACCAACTATGAAAACTCTATTTGATAGTAACCAGATATGAAAATACTATTTGATATTATGTTTAAAAATGTTTGTAAAGATTTTAACTTTGGAACACAAATTAAGTTATAAAACGTATAAATTTATGCTGAAACGCGTAGTGATTGTAAAGGCTTTATAATAAAGAAATAGAAAAGTATATAGGTTTAAGTATAAGTAAATGTTTAAAAACTTACTTTATAATCACACTTAAATTTGACACACGATATTTCTGAATTTGAGAAATTGCTTACATCTGATGGTTAACTGGAGTGTTGGGAAGTGTTAGGATAGTTAATAGGGAGTTGGGCCCTTGTCCAAGAGGTCGTTAGTTCGATCCCTGTCGTCCGAAGACTCCCCGTTTACGAAATGGTCTAAATCTGTCGGGATCATGAAATCCTCCAAGTTTTCATAACAAATCAATACCTCTGGGGGTACTGAATCGGAGATTAATCTTGTTTTGGTTCAGATCAAAATTACGATCTACGGATGGATGGATGGTGTGTGAATGTGTACTCAATGGAAAACGGGTCTGTGACGCATGTGTGTGACAGAGCTCGAATTCTTGGCCATAGATAGCGCTACTGGAAAGCAAGAGGAAACGCAACCCTCTACCTTAAATTAGGCTTGTCAGTATTGACAAGTCGCATAAGACAACAAGAACAAGAACTGGAGTGTTAGCTACAGCACTACTTCCTAAAAACGGAATAGACCGTAAAAAATTTCCGGCGTATTTCTCCGTAAATGTTGTGCTGATGAAGTGAAGTGTGGAAAGGCTGATTAGAATTTTAAATTCCAACCCCATAACCATTTATTAGATATTTTCAAATTTTATAGATTTATTTAGACCTCAAAACTTAAACTAAGCTAAAAATATTAAGAAAAAAAATAATAAACTGCTGTCACTTGAGTGATGTCGTTCATAATTGCTATTTGTCTATTTAAACATCAAATTATCTCTTTCTTGTTTTTTATTCGAATTTCTTGTTTTTTACTCGAAGTAATTCTAAATCGTAAAAAAGTCAGAAAAATAGTTGTGGGGAAAGTAGTTATCGACCATGTCAACCTTCATCTATGAAAAGGTACCCCAACATACAATCGAGTTAACATGTCTTATATACTAGTGAATTGGAATTGTATTTTTGTAGTGTAGATGCACTACAATAGTTTTTAAAGTTTATAAATACCTCTGGAATAAATGAATACAGCTCTTAAAAAATTTAAACGATGGAGTAAATTTTCGTGATTTTAGCGTGAGTGTATAAATTGGAAATAGCCTGGAAGATACTTTAGTTTTCTCGCTTCCAACGTCACCAAACGTACACCGTAAACCATTCACATCTCTTACATTATGGAAGTTATTAGCGTTGAAACTAATCCAATTTGGAAATGTTAGAGAATTATTTCTCTTTCAAAAGAATGTGTAGAGTGCTTAATGCTTATTTCAATATGATGATTTTGGTTTTTAGAATAAGAAACTCAGTAATTAATTAGAATTTACCATCTAAATTCACACAGTTAGATTAAATCATTTTATATTTTTATATTTTATTAAAATAATTTTTATATTTTCACATCAATGAAGCTTTATAAAATGTGAATAAATTTTTTTTAAATAAAATGATACAATATTATAATTTTTAAATATTATCAATTAATTACTAAGGACTATTTTTGTCTTTTCAGAAATTCATAAATATACTAAGACCATCTGAAAATTGGGGTCCCAGTAGTCCGATTCATTTTGCAGGATGGAAGTCATATAAAAACCCTGATCAACAATCAAAACAACCTGTAAATTTAGCTTCAACTGTGCCAGCTGCATATGAAAACCAAACATTTGCAGAAGATGTGTTTTGAAAGGAATTTGTGGCATTTGATTTTAACTTGTTTATTTAATTCTAACTTGTTGCTTATATTGTATTGTATCCATAACGTTTTTAATCTGCAGAATTTTTCCATTTCGCATTACATTCTGTGATAATTATTGTTTCATTTTTGCACAATAAAATTTGATTTTACACTTTGTTTTGTGTTTTTAAAACTTACTCAGAATGAATTTTCTCAGAAAAATCTGTTTGACTTTAAACCGTATTATCTTTTGTTAGAAATAAAAAAACGTGCAAACTTTTCTGAAGTCTTACTAAGTTGTTAAATTGGTTCGTATTTCCGTTTAAGTTGAACCATGGTGTAGCACTGTTAGAAACTTCTTGGGGGGAAATGGTTGCATAACTATTTATTTAATTGTTATTTTATCAAATTTAAACCAAATTGTCACATAACCATAAATAAGATGGTATTCAAACTTTTAGGTGTGTGAAAAAACAGTTCATTAACTGCTTTCCCCTAATACGCTTTAACAACCAGAATTATATCTCACCAACTAGATCCACCTAATAAAACCACTTAGCTCCTTGCAGCTGAGTACAGATTACTTTCGAAAAGGCTAATTTGCCAATCTCATGACTGATAGAACGTGAATTTGAGCCCCATCGTTGTCACCACAATATTCCCCCCATTCCCTTCAACACACAAGGAGTTTCCTGTGTCCTGTACTCCCCAATTTGTGACTCTGGATTATTAGTATGAGATACCCTCGTTCACTTATAGATGGCAGCACAATAAAGCTCCTAAATGGAAAAAGTTCAGTATTTCCCATCTTTTACGATAGGTGAAATAATCAGATGAACTAATTTAACCATATTTCATGGTTAATTTTATAAAACAAAATAACTATATAATCATAATACAATCATATTACAATCATAAATAACTATAACTATAATAACCCATTACCTAACAAAAAGCCTAGCTCTAATGTCCAGTTAAATTTTGTAACGGTTTTGAAACCATGCTAGTTGTAAATGGTAAATAATGTACAGTTTTATATTGATGTTTTTTTTAACCATATTAGCTGTAAACGGTTTTAAAACCGTAAAGGTAAAAAAAAATATCTTTCCGGTAAACTTTATGGTTAATTGGATGGGCAGACTGCTGCCGGTTATGGTTTATCACGTTCCAATGTTTCTAAAATTATGCGTTTTACTATATTTAGTGATAAAATTATTAATTATACAAAATTTCTGTTCATTGTTTTCTCTTAATTTACATCAATTTTGTTTATCAGCTTAAATAGAATTATTTCAGATAAAATATTCGACACTGTAAAAAATTCCAGATCAAAGCACTGTAAGAAGTGCCGGCATTCGTGGTGCCGGTACTTTTTACCGTAAAATCTTTTTTACTAGAAAATTCTACAAAACGAAAAATCTGATATTCTATAATTTTTACGGTAATAAGCGACGTTATATCATGGAATCACTCTAACTAAATAAATGTAACTGTAAATTTACGGTACAATATTTTACAATAAAAAGGGATTTAACGGATGATACACCTAAAGTGCCGGCACTTTATACAGTAATTTGATCCGGAATTTTTATACTGTGAATATTTAATGCTGTGAGGTGGGAAAACTATCTGGATTTTTAGATGAGATTTTTTGTTTTTTGAATAGTCCTTAAACAAACAAAAGAGGAAATAGTTGTCTCCAATTTAGGTGAGGTTTGATTTATGATATTAAAATTATTATCCAGTAATAATTTATTCGAGAATTTTATAAATTGCTTAATAAATGGGTAGTATACACAGACCGATAATATTCCTCTTCTTCTTTAATAGCACTACTGCCCTGTGCAGTTCAATGCTTTCTCAGTCTGCCTCTTCCAGACAATTCAACGTGTAGCTAGATACAATATTAATCACTGTCGTTAAAGTATATTTTTAGAACCCTCTTCAAAAGTGAAGTAAAAAAAAGCACATACATTTGTGATCGTAATTAAACATTAAGACCAGGCAAGTCTGAAGAATCACAAGTAAGGAAGGCGGATGAAAAATATCAAAATAAGGTTTGATTAACAGATGGAGCTTGAAACTGTAGCAAAAAATAGCCTTCAAACTCTCTATGTTTCCTCCGACAATCAAACTTGTTTTGATGTTTCTAGTTCCACTTCCACAGTTGTGATTCGCTAAACTTTGATAGCGTGTTTGTTTTTTCAAAGTAAAAATACGAATTTACGCTCCCTACTGTTTCGATTTTTGACTTCATGTTCGGTAAAAATTCTTAAAAATACATATTAAGGGTGATTATTATGGAACACATAAATAAATATAAATATATATACAAAAATGTGTACCTGTACATAAATATATAAACATATTTATAAATATTTAAGATTTTCGCCTTCATGTACGATAAAAATTCTTAAAAATAAAAATTAAGGGTGATTATTACGGAACACAGATATAAATATAAATACATATACGAAACTGCGTACCTGCGTATAAATTTATGTACAAAAACGAACTTTACTTGAATAAATACGAAATCTGATCAAAACATAACAGACAAAAATTTTTGAGTGNTCTATGTTTCCTCTGACAATCAAACTTGTTTTGATGTTTCTAGTTCCACTTCCTCAGTTGTGATTCGCTAAACTTTGATAGCGTGTTTGTTTTTTGTACAAAAACGAACTTTACTTGAATAAATACGAAATCTGATCAAAACATAACAGACAAAAATTTTTGAGTGCCGATAAATAATTCGAGAAATTCGTTGTCGGCGCGAAATTTTTGACCGCCGAGGACGGACTGTTTTTCGAGCCCTGATAATATAATACAAATAATATTCTTCGTATAATCATTAATCACGATTACACTGTGGAACAAATTGCTTGTTGCATTCACACAAATACTTCATCTATTCTGATTCGGGTTCATTCTAATTTCACATCTGAAATTAGTTTTGCTCCTTAAGCTACGAATTTTTTTTAAAATGATATTTTCAGTCATTTTGTCGGAATGTACAAATTTAAGAAAGTTATACATGACAGGGGGTCACGTAAATTTTGCGACGAACTTCTAGTTAGTTAAGACACATCATCAGGATTAAAATTGTATTGGAACCCATGCCTAGAAAAGTTGTCGTGCTAGGTCAAAGACACTTCCTTGTTATAACCTGTTTCCTGTTGTACCTGTTGTCCCTGTTATATGACGCATCCCTGTTATAGCCTGTTCAGAAGCACAGGAAGAGATAGTTCAAAATGAGCGCAAATACGGCGGAGCCTCATATCTGTTCTATAGTATGATGTTAATGTTTGTTTCATAAATAAAGCGATCTCCAAAGCAAGTATAGTTTGTCTAAGCTAAGAACTCCTCCAGCCACAAAGTCTGAGGCAGTCTGGTGCCATGGAAAAAATGGCGCAATTTAGAGAGGGTAGCTTTATTCTAGGACTAACACAATGGATCGAAGAAAGAGATTCCCTTTCTCTCGTTGACTCGAGCTGAAACCACTCCCAAAACAGGTACCCCGCACCCCTACTTGAAATAGTCAGATCTCGTTACCATAGTCACCGCCATAGGTTCAGACGAATGTCTGGAGGAGTTCTTATCCTAGACAAACTATAAGGAGGTTAAACGGTTCCATAACGTAACGAGCTCTTCTTTGTGTATATTTATGAAGGGAAAGTTTCTTCGCACAAGTCAGAACCGGTTTTCGCTTAAATTTTGAACAAAAAAGTGTCTTTTATGAGGAAGATATATTTACGTTTTGGCTTTAAGTTCAGTTAACAGTTAACTTAGCTCAGAATGAAAATTTTGCCAGTTGCTTTTCAGAGGATTCTTTGAACATCGTTAGGACTAAAACTGCGTAGGAACCTATTGACAGAAATGTTGTCATTCACCGATAGGTGCACTTTCCTATTATAAACAGTGTTTTTTTCTTCTGAGAAGATTATAATAGGAGAGCGCATCTAGCCGCGTATGACGACATTTTCGGGCATAGTTTCTGCAGTATTTTTAATCCTGATAGTATTCCTTAACTCCCATAGAAGCTTATCATATCCCTTTTGCGACCTCTTGTTATACATAATGTTTTTAAACTTGTTCATTTCGGCAAAAAAATTGATTAAAAAAATTATTTAAAAAAATGTAGCTTGGAAAGAAGAAACTTATAACAGATTTGAAAGAAAATTCTCAGGCAATTGTTATTGATATTAATGAGTATTAGAATGAATTATAGTGAATAATTTAAATACATTTCCTTTGAGATACATTATCATTTGGTGTATGCGGTATCAACATGAAAGTTTATGATATCAAGATAATATCTTACAGTTCAGAAAGTGGTGAGTAAAGTTTTACATTCCAGTCAAACAATAGATAACTTCAAATAGTCATGCAATCCGTTTATCACCTTCGCTATTTTTGTCATTGCGTAGTAAAATAGATTACATGTTTTTAAAAAAGCCTTTTTGGGACTTAACATACCTTTTTTCAGTTTTTTTTATACTTAAAGTTAGATCGGGAAATAAAACTTCTTGCGAAAAAGTTCAAAGCTCAAAATATTATCACATTAAGCTATACTTTTAAAATTAGTCATACATTGTATAATTTCATGACGTGTGATTGTATTACATACGTAACATATAATTTCATGTCATATGTGATTCAATTGCACACATAACATATAATTTCACGACATACGGTTTCATTACACTCATAACTCATAATTTCATTACTTATGATTCAATTACATACATAATATATAATTTCATGACATATGATTCAATTACACAAACAACACATAATTTCATGACATATGATTCAATTACACAAATAACACATAATTTCATGACATATGATTCAATTGCACAAATAACACATAATTTCATGACATGTGATTCAATTACATCATACGCAACATATAATTTCATAGCTTAACATATAGCTTCGTAAGAACTTATTTCACAACTTTACATATAATTTCATAATAACTCATTTCATAATAACTTATAATTTCATAACAACATAATAATTTTATTACACGTACTATTAACATATCATTAACAAGTATTATTAGCATATAAATAACAAGTAATATTAACATATAATTTCATAACAAACAAACTTTCAAGTATCTTGCATTTAATTGGATAGATATTTACTGATTTAAATGCTCTTTCCCATGTTATAGAGGAAGCAAAGTTTCCAAAAATTGTATTTTTAGAGTAGTTTGGAGGAAAATTAAGCAGGTTATTTAAAAAAAAACAATAATAAATATTATTAGGCTTCTTTAGATATTAAAGCATATTAAATATATTTTTCAACAAAATTAATTTATAAAGATTTATCTTTTCATGATTCCAGCTGTGAGTCCATCTGACCCGTTAATATGTTTTCTCATATGAGTTTCCATCATAGGTATATTAGAATAGATATATCAGAATAGACATCATAGGTATATAAGAATATAGATAATAGGTAATTCAGAATAAATAGCATAGGTATACAAAAATAGATATAGGTATATCAGACTAGGTAGCATATGTGCATGTAAGAATATATTGTCACGTTAAAGTGTTTAGATTTAGTGTAGATTACAAGATGAGGTTTTGATAATCAATTTATTAACGTCAAGAAATTACAAACGCCGAGAACCAGTCTGCACCAAGAAGAACTCCTCTTTCATCATCATCATCATCATTTGGGATTGCTCAGGGCCTTTAGGCCCCGTAGGGGCCTTTTACCCTTCCATCTGGTACTAGTGAGATCTGACTTGGTTGTATCTGTGATAAAAGAGAAGGAGAGAGAGAGAAAAGAAGGAAACTAATGTAATATTAGTTTAATATTAGATGTGCNCTAGGATAGTAGTTAATTGGTGGTCTTGAAGGACCTTTTGTTTTGAAAAAATGACTGCCTGTTTACAATAACTCTGACGAACTCCAGAACTTTTCTGAACGAACGAACTCGAACCGAACTGTCTGAACTCCTACTGAGAACTGGAACTGAACTCGAACTGAACGACCGAACGAGAACCCTGCTTCACGGAACTGAACTGAGAACTCGAATCCTCTTTACAATGACGGGATTGCTTATATACTAGAATAGAATGTTCTAGAAACTTCCTACGAAACAACTAAAGAGGAAATGGCATAACCTGAACATTCCAGAAGCTTCTGGAATGTTCATAAATTAAATAAGCAAATTTAGTGTCCGCTTACCGTATCGAACCCAGGACCTTCTGCTTTATAGAAGCGGATTCTACCACTGAGCGACTGAGACTCGACAATATATTATAGGTATATAAGAATAATTAGCATAGGTTTGATGTTTTAAAAACGTTGACGATTTCACTAGTTTCTATACGCTAAATTATTTTATACAGAAGGGATGATCATAGTTGATAGGATTTAAATTCAAAAGTTAAATTTAATAGAAATAAAATAGCAAAATAAATTTAATATGTTTTATCATATGTTATGTATTGTGAACCAAGTTTTTTATTAAAGTCTAAAATTGAATTTTAATGATTGACAATTATTTATCGAACTGAAGGCTCAAAATGAATTTTAATAAGCTTAACTTTCAAAATTAAGTTTTATAGGCTTACGACACTAAAGCAAATTTTAATGTTCTCAGTTTTTAATATTACTCTTCTCACTGTATGCATTTTTGATCAATATTTAGCTATTAAATGTATGTATGCAAGCCCCTTGACCTTAAATAAGTTAAAATTCTGTGTTAGTTACGCATTTGTACTGTTCTAAAAGTTATTCTGTTGAATTTATCTGTTGAATATGTCATTTTTTTCCATTTATGCTGATCGATTTTTTTTTCTTCGCAACTTATATTTTCAAAACTTTATTTTATTATAACGAACGAAAAAGAAACAAGACCTGATTGTTTTCAGAAAAGAATTGCCAGCTTTCAATTTAATCTATTAAAAAAAATTCAGTTTGTTTTGAGAGTAAAGATTCGTGTGTTTGCCTTTGTAAAATGCGAAGGATTATTTTTGACATAAAAGATTTTTCTAATCTAGGAACGCAGTTTATGATTATGAAATTTAAGTGTGATATGATTTCTTCCAGCTTTGTAAAATCTTTCGTTTATTATGATAATATATGACAAGTGGAAAATGACTGTTATTTGCGATTACATTCTAAAATTTAATATTGCCAACAACGTGATATATAAAAAATTATAATTAAAAAACAGAAAGGAAATTATCTTTAAAAAGGCAACAAATAAATAAATAAACAATAGTTTCAGTATGAAAGAACGTGATGCACCTAAAAGTTACCAGTGAGATATTTAATTTATACAGTCAAGTGATCGATTGAAATCGTTTTGTTTGGAATCAAAATTCAAGATAACACTAACAATAGATGTATTGATATTTCCAAATATGACAAGTGTTATCGTGGTTTTTTCTATTTTTCGCAACTTTAAATGCATAAAGGATTTGGAATGATAGTGGGTTTAGATTGTGTCTCACAATGTGGAATTATTAAAGAAAACATTTATTGGATAATTGTAAAAATTCATTCATTGGAAAATTTGTAAATAATAATAATGGAGTCTAAGATAAAACCATTTACGGTAACATATTTTCAATTATAAAACTATTTTTGTGGTAATTTAAATATTGTTTAATCAATTATTTAATGTTTTACTTCAGTTGTTTCAACAATTATTACATATTCTACTTCAATTCTTTCAAGATTATTAAATATTTTACTTCAAATGTTTGAACAGTTGTAAAATATTTTACTTAAGTTGCTTCAATAATTATCAAACATTTTATTTCAGTTGTTTAAACAATTACGAAATATTTTACTTTTGTTGTTTCAACAATTATTAATTATTTTACTTTAGTTGTTTCAACAATCATTAAGTATTTTACTTCTGTTGCTTTAACAATTATTAAGTATTTTACTTCTGTTGTTTCAACAATTATTAATTATTTTACTTCAGTCGTTTAAACAATTACGAAATATTTTACTTTGGCTGTTTCAACAATCATTAAGTTATTTACTTCTGTCGCTTCAACAATTATTAAGTATTTTACTTCTGTTGTTTCAATAATTATGAAACATTTTACTACAGTTTTTTCAACAATTCTTCAATCTTTTACTTCAGTTGTTTCAACAATTATCAAATATTTTACTTCAGATGTTTCCCCAATTATTAAATATTTTATTACCGTTGTTTTAAAACTTATTAGATATTTTACTGAAGTTATTCATTAAAATAGAAATTACAGAATGAAAAGAATATAGCTAGCTTCTTCATTACAAAAGATATGAGTTTCTTTTGTACCATGCGACTGGTTCTCTAAAAATACTATACAAATTGATAAAATAAATTTTTTAAATCAAATTTTATAGCTTCTGAAATATATTTTGTCAATAAACAAAAAAAGTCTGAAAATGTACTTCAGACGATTCACTTATACTTTGTTTTTGGATATGACTGTTAGTTAACAGAATAATTTAATTTTTTAATATTTATAAACGTTAACAATAGCGATAAATAGAGCGAAAACAGTTTAATCAAATTATGCAATTGTATTTTAGTAAAAATGAATAGATAATATAACTTGGAGAGATAAAATTATGTTCCATTAATAATAATACAAGCTTAAAAGACGCGAAACGTAAAAAAACCATTATACATGGGGAACTGTCTGTAAATGATACCACTTTTGGAAGGGGAGGGAGGTGGCTCCTGTGTAGGATAATGTTAATATTCTTATTCTCCGTTAGAAATATTCTAAAACGAGCTTTCTAATTGTGTATAGAAAAAGTGTCTTCATGCATTTTACTTTCAAAAACAACAATGAGTTACTATTCAGCGACGGGCCCATGCCAGAGTTGAAGATCATTTAGCCAATAGAGCGTTGCCCAGGGTGCACCACGTGGAGGTAGATCTACGATGCACCCACGGATCCCGGGACACTGCGGGATTCGGGGTAATGAAAAAGCTGATTTCTTGGCCAACTATTGCCCAAGCATCTCGTTGCTTCATCTCTCTGCACTCATTTAAATTGCTGGTCCGGAACCAATTCCGGAACATGCTCTCAGAGAATTTCCGTAAAAGCAATATACTCAAAACCTGGTTCAACCATATTTTAACTATCCCAAATCAGCCCACGTTTAAGGCAGTCCCTCTCTTTAGACTTGTAACTGGCCATGACTGTCTGGCCAAACATCTTTTTAGTAAAAACATTTTTGACTGTCCTAAATGCAAGCTCTGACTTGCCCCATATTTCCGTCTGTCCTGCGCTCATCTCCACTACTGTGTGTGGACGCTACTGGAAGGCTAGGGCCCGTATGGGCTAAGCATGTCACTATGCATTCAATTCTATTTATCTCTTTTTGCCTTGTTTTTCTTGTTATTTTATCCTTTTTGTTCTTTTAAATTGGCCTGCCATTGGAAATAAAAAAAAAATTCAATATATTTTCCTTTTTAAATTGAAGCAAGAATTTTATGTTAAAAACCTGGGGAAAAAAAGTATTATTCTGAAAAAGAAAATTTCCGGTCCTCTAAAAGAATAAAAAATAATAAAAACCAAAGGCTCATTTTCCTCTGGAAAAGTAATTTTCACATAAAATTTTTAGCAAATGCATATAAACAACAAAATGTGTGAACGTTATTAAATACATTTAATTTTCAAAGATAAAAATGAAAAACTTAACTATTTANGAAGCCGGGAGAGCTGTATTAAGATCACCGTATTTTTTGAGTGCTGAATGTGAGAGGTGTATTAACTTCACGGTCGTAGTCGCTCCTCTGTTGCCGTTAGCAGTCGAGTAATCATAAGTATGCAAGCCGACGTTGTGCGTGATCGAGACGAGACTGAGTAGCAACAGTGCTAGGAGGTAGATAATGTCGCAGTCACAAGTAGCAAGTCAACTGTTCAATGTGGATCATCCATCGAAGTAGGCGTGACTGTCTAGGTAGGCATTTTCATATCGAAGTGGGCGTTACTGCCTAGGTAGGCGTGTTCACATCACGTCCGAAGGTCACCAATGTGGGGCTAGTCGTTATAGACAATGTCAACCGTCATCTATGAGAAGGTACCCCGGCATAGAGTCGAGTTAACATGTCTTATATAACAGTGAATTGATGTTTAATTTTCGTAGTGGTGGTTACGCTACACGCTCATAAAATTTTTTTTGCTGATAAATACGACTTATTAAAACGTATTTTGAGTCACAAATTATGTTGGAAAAGAATATTGAAAATATTTCAAATGTAAAAGAAATGACGCTAGAAAATAATATTTCCTAACGTATTGATAGCTGTAATGTGCACAATAAAAATGAATTTCGATAACTCTTTAATTTAAAATTATACTGAAGGTACCAAGAAAAAGAACACAAATCAATTCTTTTCCTTTTGAAAATGAACATATTAGGGCCATTTTTAAAGTAAGAACCAATTGTGCAGTGTGTCCGTGATGTCAGTCAAGTGACGTCAGTTCTAGGTCAGCCACTCTTGATAAGTCTCTTACTATGCCGCCATTATGGTCTCTGCCGGTATTGGTTGTAAGATTTAACTGATTTGTTCGTGATTTGGTTGTAAGGTTGTACTGATTTGTTCGTCACCATGACGGTCAGTAAACCAGTCGATTGCAAAGTACGATCAGTTATTTTGTTACTAAATACTAAAAAAAAAGTTCGCCCTGCTAAAATTCACGGTAGTTAATGGTGGACATCTGATGAATGATAGAAATATGCGTAAATGGTGTAGGCTTTGTAATGAAGAAAGAACAAATGATTATGACGAAGAACGATCTGGAGGGCCTACTTCCATGAATGGGAAATACTAGATCATCCACCATACAGCCCTGACTTAGCACCATCACACTTTCCGTTGTTTCAAAACTTGAGAGATTTCTTGGTGGAAAGTGCTTGGAAAAAGATGTCATGTTGAAAGAAACTGTTATTAATAGGTTTAACGGTTGGGCAGTAAAGTTCCTTGATGAGATTTAAAAGCTGGTACCACAACTTGATAAATTCTTTAATGTTAATTGCGACTATGTTGAAAAGCAAATAAACGTTCATATTTTACTTTGTGATACTATTTATGTTTATAAATACTCCATTACAAAACCGTTCTAATTTTGAGAAAAATTACCCTTGTGTCTTAAGGAAGCTTATCTCACTTGCAAGTAATATCATGGCGTTGTTTGATACTTACCTGACTCATAGTAACGAATCATATATTGAAATGTATAACATTATGTTAATCAAATTTCTTTACATTTGTTTGCCAAATTAATGAATGAAAATCATCACTTTGATACCGAAGCTTGGTGCTTGTTACTCATGAGCACATACTTTTTTTTGTAAATGTTGCTTGTCGAATTTGCAGATAATTTCAAAGTTCAATTTGTAAGGTCAATTATTTGCATTCGAAAGAGCGTTCCCCTTTCAATGAAGTGAAGCGGGTTTGAATCCAAGCGTTGGTTGGCAAATACGAATTCTGCACCCGGCTCGCACCGACTACAACGCTGACGTAAAATATCCTCAGTGGTTGATGGATCATGGGTTAGAGTCCCATTGCCGTCATCATGGAAGTAACCATGGGAGGTTTTCATCTCCATGTAGCGTAAATGCTGGTCAGTTCCACCAAAAAGTCCTCCATGAAGGGACATTTTTCCCAATACTTGATCCAAGAGTTCCCTAGTCTTCTGAATTGGGATCAAAAATACAAGCTACGGAATTGAACATTAGCAGTCGTAAACCCAAAAAATTGGGTCTGCTGTTCAAAGACGGTTATAAGAAAAATTAATTTTCATTCATCTTTGATCGTTTACTTTTTAAACTCAAATATCAAAAATATAGATTTAGATATGAATCTTGAAAGCATTAAAAAAACGTCTTTAGTTTATTTTTTCCCTTTATTACACAGATAGCAATCATTTGCATTGTGATTGGTATCTGTGTAAGTTGAAGAAATTAATTTCACTTCTACACAAATTTAAGTTTTTTATCAACTTTTTTGCAAATATTATCGTTCCTATCCGTCGTCAAGGAAAAAAAAACGTAATAAAAAACTGGATTATCTAAAACTCTTCCCATTAGCGGATTCTTGATTTTCATTCTTTGGGCAATCATGGTGTAACACATTGCTTTCATTTTATGAGTTTTTAGTAATTCTTTTAAAAATGGAATTGAGTACTTTCACTTCAAGAAAAAAAAAGAATACAGATATCCACACATGTGAAGCATAACGTCAGTGCCAGCCTGTCGTTTATAAACAAAATGGCGCATTTAAGTTGTGCTAAGTTTCTCCACATAAGTTAGAATGTTAGTTAACGTGAAATTAATTAAATACAGCTCCGTATCGCTCATTGAATTTGTTGAAATATAATTCTTTCTATCTACGTTTTTTCCTTATTTTAAATTTATTATTTGTTTATGCATTTTAGTGTAACCTTGATATATTTTTATTTCGTGTACCTAGCAACTTCGATGCATAAGTTTGTTTATGCTCTAGATGGCATCGAGCGTTAAGTAAACAATACATTGAAGGAATTGAAATCTTTGTGAAAGAATATAGAATGCACTTATGACTTATTACGTATATTTAAGGGAATTGAATCTTGACGGACTTGGCTCTCTCGAAATAGAATGGAAAGGACAATTGCTAACTTAAACAAATGCCACGTTTTAACAACCAATCAGGATCGAGGTAGCCACACTACGTCCCTTGCAGGTATCCCATTGCCACATTCTTAATGCCAAAATATAAGTAAATGCAGCCCTTTTTCCAGGATTAGTTTAAGCAAATATGTAGGCAATAGGGTGAGCAGTAGGCGGAGACCGTACCTCTATTGCGAACAAATTCCGTATTACACTTTACTAGCCAAGAAGAAGGACATGTTGTTCGTGATTAATTCACGACGTCTGTGCATATAATCTTGTTTTACTCGCATTATTTTTTTCTCTAATTTTCTTTTATTTTTAAGCTATCTTTATTTATTGGTCATTACTATTATAAAAATTATTTGTAGACCTGCTTACTATACGTTTAGATTCATAAACCTAACAAACAATAAAGATTTTATCCAATAGTAGCATGATTTTGTTTCGTTTCGATAACCTCTGCTCTCGGGGTAAGATTGGTATTACCAGGGTTTTTCCCCACAGTCTTGATATGAGTCATTGCTGTCCCCACGAAAGCTTCAGAGTAGCGAAAGAATAAGACAATTACAACATCACATGACATAATTTTCTTAACTTGTCATAGAAAAAAGAGAAATGCCTGCTACTTTTCCACTGATACTCTGACATTTCCATATTTCTCTTAGGGGTAAACTTCAAACTTTCATTTCAAATGGGGGTAAGATCGGGTGATTTGACTATTCACTGTTAGAACTTTCCTCCTAAAATTACGGTAAAATAATCGGAAGCAGTCTGTTTATCTAATTAACCATAAAGCTTACGGCGAAGAATATTTTTTACCTTTACGGTTTTGAAACCGTTTACAACTAGTATGGTAAAGAAACCATGATTACAAAACTATACCGTTTTTTAACAATTTACAATTAGCATGGCTTTAAAACCGTAAAAATAATTTTATCTGGGCATTGGAGCTAGGCTTTTCGTTAGGTAATGGGCATTGGAGTTAGGTAGTGGTTGTTCAAAATGAACTATGGAATGTGGTTTAATTAGTTTATTTGGATGTTTCACTTCTTTTAAGATACGGGAAATATTAGACGTTTTTGGTGCTGCCATCTATGTGTGCCTGAGAGTATCGTTATCTAATAATTCAGAGTCACTAATTAGGGAGTGCAGGACACTGGAAACTCTTCATGTGTTGAATAAAATAGAGGAAATAGTGTGGTGTCAAAGCTGGGACTTGAACCCCGATTCTGTCAGTCATGAAATTGACAGATTAGATCTCTCGGCTATAATATGCACCCAGCTGTAAGGAACTAAGCGTCTTTATTAGGTGGGCCTAGTCTTTTGGTTGTTTAACCGTACTATGTGAAAGCAGTTAGTAAACGGTTTTTCTTACAGTTAACAATTTAGATACCATCTTATTTAATGTTATTTGACTGTTTTGTTAGTATATGGTAAAATAGCAATTAAATAAATTGTTATGTAACCCTTTTTTTCCAAGAAATTTTCAAAAGGTTCTAGAAAAAATCATTCATATAAAAAAAAAACCAGTATGTTTATGAACTGACGGAGATGACGGCACATAACTAAACAATGAATATCTTTATTAAATCTCATAGTTTCCAATTCGAATTAGCAACAACCGTCCTTTGAATCTTAGTTTCCCAATCTTACTCCACTTTCCCCTATATAGACGCAGTTAAGCAAAGATAGAATGCACCTGATACACAAAGAAATAAACTTGCTTTTACATATTGAATGCAAAAGAAAAAATATTTCTCAATTTCGATTTTTAAAAAAGAATTCCTTTTCTTGTTAAATATATATCTAGGAACCATGAATGATTCAATTAAATTGTATAATACGACAGAAAGAAAAAGTGCTGCAAACACTGATAAAAATCTTTTCACAAACTAAAGCTGTGTTTTTTACTCTAAACAAAGGATAATGAAAAGAAATAAGTGTATTAATAAATACATAATTTTTAATTAACCATTAAACTTAATACTAATAAAAAATTATAAGTATCCATAAATTCCTTTTAAGTTTTGTAGACTACTCTAAAATTATTTTTATGTGATGAATTCTTAATCTTTAGATTTTATAATAGTGTGCCTTTGCGTAAAAAAAAAAGAAGAAAAGAAAACTGTCAGAAATTGAATTTTTGTCTATAATCGATAGACTTCATCTTATTTAGAATTAAATAAAATTCAAGAAAAATAACTTGAAACAATAAAGAAAAAAGAAAGCAATGGAAATAAAAATATGGCCACCGAAACTGACATCTTCAGAGGTACCAGCTCCGGAAGTCATAGAACAAAACCTTTTCTATTGAGAGATCTAGACAAATGTCAAAATTTGTTCCCTTAGTAACTGGAAGGTTTTGCAAAAGTTCAGAAAGAAATGCGAGAAATGCATGAAATCAAATCAGAAGAGAAATTTCAAACAAAATCTCGAGAATATAATACAAAAATGAAAATACAAAAACTCACAGTAAACTGGTCAAACAGCAATTTCATGAAACTAACTCAATGTAAAAGAAACATTTGAAATAAAAGAAAACAACGCTCTCTATTAAAATGCGCAGTAGGAAGAAAAAAAGAATAGGAAAGGTAAAGATTGCGTAACAGATTAATATAATGCTTAACTGGGGCTGCTCAGTGAAGGCTTTAATTTCGCCTTGGAAAAAGAAATAATAAACTAATATTCCTCAATCATTTTCCTAATCAAAAATTTAACATTACAATAATTATAAGGAAAATCATTATTTCTCAAATTTCTCAAAAAATTATTCGCAGCCTCCTGAAAACATGCAGCGTTATTGCAAATTTTTTTAACTCTAAACAATTGAGAAAAAACTAAATTTTTGTAAAATTTACTGCACAAATTAGTATTAAAGTTACAAAAAAAAATAACTTTAAATTTAAAAGCCTTACGTTTATCAAAAACACCAATCTTAACTATTTTAGCAACAATATCAATTTTAAAATCTAAATATATTTAGATAAATATAAATATTTAGATTTTAAAATTGATTGAAATATTCAAAAATTCATAATAAAATTGTTCTAATTAATCTTTCTTTTGAAAATACAGCAGCTTTGCTCGTTTTTTACAAAGAAAGTTCTGTTTTATAGATTTAAATATTTTGCATTCTTTTACTCATGAAAAATAACCATTTACTTTCAATTGTAAGGTAATTCTACGATAAATGCCCTAAGTTTTTTTTTTTAAAATCGAAATAAAAATACTAAGAATAGAGCTGTAAGAAATATTTAGGTATATTTTAAGTTCAGATATATTTACTTAACATATTTTAAGCAAAAAATGGTGAAATATTGTAAAAAAAATAATGAAAAATATTGCTTGAAAATAAAGTTACGACTAACCACATCTTCTTAATGTTAAGGAGAGATGACTATTTGAAGAGTAAAGGAAAAATTAAGGAATACGAAAAATAACGCATTGTATGTAGGGGAGAGTGGGGTCAATTGTAACAGGGTACGATTGTAACAGAGCAAAAATTTCGAGTGTCGGGTTCTAGATTTGGTTCCTAGGTGGAGCACAAGGTATATTTATAAATCTACATGTACACCCCTGCTGGCAACCATTTTTATGTACTTTTGAAAGAGTTACATCACAAAATATATTTTCACGCTACGTAAGTATTTTTTTGGTATTAGAATATTATGTTGTAACAAAGCAATTTTGTTTAAACAAATAAAAATTATTAACCGAATATGTAAGTGGACACCTTAATTAGCATTTTAAAAAAAAAGATTAGTTTTGTTAATTACCTAGCATTGTTTTTAACAAATGAAGCTGAAATGGCGTCTTGGGGACGATTGTAACAATAAGTGAAGGGACGATTGTAACAGCTGAAAGTAAATAATCTTATGTTTACAAACCATTACTTAACTCTTATAGGAACCACCAATAGTTTCCTTTATCATTTATCATATGCAAATGCATTATCTTATTTGTCACCTTTCACAGCATAAATTAAAACTTTTAACCCCTTAAAGTTAAAAGTTTAACCCATTAGGTCTCTGCTCATTATTATTTTTACTCCTAAAATATCACTACTATTTTGATCAATAAAAAAATATATCACAACTATGATAATGTGTATAATTAACTATGTTTTAGTTGAATTTATGAACTGTTAAAATTGACCCCGTAAGTGGAGACAATTGTAACAAGTGCATGACTGTCAAAAATTGTCAATGACTTGGATTTTTTGTTAATTAAAAATAGTTAAGTAAAAAGTGTTGCAATTGACCCCACTCTCCCCTACAGTTAACCATGAATGATTTATTACAAATTGTAAAGCACGACTATTATCAAGGAGTAACTGGCCATCTCTCCTCTATATCATCTTGTCCTGAATTACCTTATACTGAAATATTTTAATTTCATTTGATATAAATTCTAAAAATTCAAGATACTTTTCTGATTTTTTGTTGATTGATTTGTCAATGGTTTGATGTTAGATAGTTTAAGATAATGTGTCCAATATTTTTACAGGTGCTTGAAGCGTCATATGACGGTTCACCAGCTCCAGATGAATTTTTAGAGTCCTGTAGAAAAGATACTTATTCAGCACCAGAAATTATTTTTGAAAAAGTAAGTTGGAATATTCTAAAAAGTTTCATTTGCAGTTAAAATTTGAATCATTTTAAATGATTTTTAATAATGTTTCATTTACAGCGTATGCAATTCATTTTAATTTGAACCAGTTGAAAATAATGTATTTTATCGACTATAAAGTGTACCAGTCTTTTTTAATATATCTTTTGTAATGTAAAAAAATTTCATTGCTTCAGTAATTGCTATAGTTCTCTGACAATCGTGTAAATTAAAAAAAACGCCAAATGACTGTAAAATAGCATAAATTTGCTTTGAGTTTGATTTATATTGAAATTGGTCTTCAAATTTTTAAAAATGCGCACATTTCTCTCAAACTATTGTAACTTTCTGAGGTAATATGATCAATTAAAAAAAACAATATCAACTTTCTACAAGTAAAATTTGCATTTAGAGTTCTTTTTTGAAAAAAAAAATAGAGTTTTTTTTTTAAACAAAGACGTAGTTTTATTTACATTTTTAAAAGATACAATTTTTAAAAATTAAATATTTCTGAATTACTAAATTATTCCAACTACTAAGGAATATCTGATTTATGCAAAGTAGCGTTCCCTTCAGTCCGCCAATAACCGTAACATCAAGCGCAGAGGGTGTGGTAGAGTTGGACCCGTTATCTGTTTAACGGGCAGTGCATAGAAACTCCTCGCTCATTCGAAAACTCATGTTGTTAGGTGTTTAACCATGTAGTATTGCAGGTTGTTGAACTAATTTCGGTGAAATTCAAGATGGTGTTGCAATAATTAAGTGCGAAATATCAGCAAGATATTATTGAAGTGCTTGCGATCATGGACGAGCAGTTAGATGACTAGAACCAAGTTAAAATGTCACCATTGTGGCCACAGTGAGGGTGTCAAAAAGGGTCCTCTCGCAATTAGAGGCAGCTGAAGCTGGAAATTTTGTGAGAAACTGGTGGTTGTGGTTGGAACACCACACCCCAAGAGGATCGATATGTATCCCAAGTGCTAAAAAGGAACAGAAATGTCACTCCTAGTAAGATAGTTGCAGACCTTGCAACCATTACCGGTACACAGGTTTCTGCCAGAACAAACTCACGCCGAAGTTGGTTTGTATGCATGCTTGTTCAATACCTATCGATTTAACCACGCAATCGTTGAGGAAGACTACGCTGGTGTAGGGAAATATTGGTTGGGGTCCCCAACAGTGGTCCAGAGTGATGTTCTACGACAAATCCCGTTTCGCCGTGTAGAGTTATTATCTCCACAAATTTGTGTTTAGAGAGAGGGGAACACGCTATGCACAGTGGTTTGTTCATGAACGTGATGGGTGTGACCTAGGCTTGCTGGTGTGAACAGGCAGCATGCATGTCGGCAGAACATAGCTTCACATCTTTGAAAGGTTCACTACAATCCAGCGGTATTGCTGAGAGATTATTCGGGATCATGTTCGTCTTTTAAGGAATGTGTTAGGTCCAGACTTCCTGTTTATAAACGTCAATGAGCAGACACACAAGAGTGCTGAAGTATCAGACACAGTAGAAGGTGAAGGTATCATGTGTATGCAATGGCCTGCGTGAATCCGGGACCTTGAATCCCATAGAGTTTGTTTGAGATACTCTAGTCAGGAGTGTTTCACAAAGTCTCTTTAGTTTAGTGGACAGCATAAATAGCCGATGCAAAACATGCATTAGTGTCTGAGGCAATCATCTGTCGTACTGAGATACTCATACCTGTTTTATTTTGACAAGAAGACCTTTTCTTCGTGGCTATTTGGAAATCGTCTAAGGAGCATAATTTTCATATTTAATTTTCTTATTTTTCGATGGTACAATATACGTACCATTTTGTATTATAATAAATGCACATTGTCTCCACTAAATATGCACTTAGTTTCATTTCTTCAATCAATGTCTATTATTAGCTATTCCGAAAAATAACTGTTTGAATTTATTAACTGTTTGGAAATAAATGGATTATGTAACTCTTCTTTACCAATTGTCAAATAATGTAGATAAATTTATTAGCATGATACAAAAATCAATTTACTGGCCATGTAAAGAATTTTAATAGAACAGTACAATGAAATTTATATAAAGAACATTTAAGAATCGCAAACACTTTTAAAGACTGGATTAACCTTCTAAATCTAAAACGTATTCACATATAACTCGAGATAATTATAACGAAATAAAATGTATTAGAAAGTTGTCACAATTAGCCATAATAGTATTAGAAGTTTGAATGTTACCTTAATATTAAACAAATAAGTTTCATGCCAAAACTTTCGACTCAATAGTTTCAATTTATAAAAGAAAAATATCTTCTCTTTTTTTTAGCATTAAAATAACCGATAAAAAATAGCTTGTGCTAAAAATAGCACGCATTTCATGACGAGGCTAATGAAATAACCTTCTAAGAATAGCGAAAACTTGCGTGTGCTTCAAAAAGTTTATTTTACAACACAACTTGGATCAAAACACTTTGCAGTTTTCTGAAAAATCTATACCAGGCAATCTACTTGAGTGATTTAAACTGGATACGGGATAAACCTTCAATGTTTGAACACCGATATTGCTTTCCTACAGATGTGATTAAAAAAATCACTTAAAAAATGTTCATTGATTTTTAATATATATTTTTATATCGTTGAAATGTTGCTTGGTAACAAATTTTATGAAATGTGCTATAAAAACGTACTAAATTTAATATTGTTTTTAAGGAAAAAATTATAAAAACCGAAATTTAAATAAAAAAGATTGCTTTAAGCTGTAAAAGATTCCTAATCGAATTAAGGTAAAAAGTACTTGCACTCAGGGTACTGGTACTTTTTCCCGTAAAATCTATTTTAATCGGAGCATGTTACGGACCAAAAAATATGATGTACCCCAATTTTTACTGTAATATCTATTTAATTAGAGTGATTCAGGTATTTTACAGCAATTTTTACAGTAATAATTAATGTAAAATCACTGAATCACTCAAATTAAATAGATATTACTGTAAAAAATACGATGTACTATTTAACGGTAAAACTGGATTTTAAGGTTAAAAAATGGATTTTGCAGTGAAATTTATTGGTAAAATAACATGCACCTAGAATGCTGTTAATTTATATAGCAATTTGATCCGGCATTTTTTGCAGTGTAGTTCTACAAAGATGTCCATAAAAGTAAGAAATTCACAAAAAAAAATCTTTTTTTGACAATTATTCTAATTTATATTAGCTTTAAATTAAATATCAGTTTTGTTTTATAATGCACAAGCTTAGATATAGTATTGATTGAATAAAATGTATTAAGAAGAATAAGTTATCTTTGTAATNATTAAAAAAAAATCACTCAAAAAATGTTCATTGATTTTTAATATATATTTTTTATATCGTTGAAATGTTGCTTGGTAACAAATTTTACGAAATGTGCTATAAAAACATGTTAAATTTAATATTGTTTTTAAGGAAAAAATTATAAAAACCAAAATTTAACAAATAAAAAAGATCGTTTTAAGCTGTAAAAGATTCCGAATCAAATTAAGGTAAAAAGTACTTGCACTCAGGGTACTGGTACTTTTTACCGTGAAAATCCATTTTAACCGGAACATGTTACGGACGAAAAAATATGATGCACCTCAATTTTTACTGTAATATCTACTTAATTAGAGTGATTCAGGTATTTTACCGCAATTTTCACAGTAATAATTAACGTAAAATCACTGAATCACTCAAATAGATATTACAGTAAAAATTACGATGTACTATTTAACAGTAAAACTGAATTTTAAGGTAAAAAAATGGATTTTACAGTGAAATTTATTGGTAAAATAACATGCACCTAGAATGCCGGTAATTTATATTGCGATTTGATCCGACATTTTTTATGGTGTAGTTCTGCAAAGATGTCCATAAAAGTAAGAAGTTCACAAAAAAAATTTTTTTTTTCGACTATTATTCTACTTTATATTCAGTTTTAAATTAAATATCAGTTTTGTTTTATAATGCACAAGCTTAGATATAGTATTGATTGAATAAAATGTATTAAGAAGAATAAGTTATCTTTGTAATAAGATATACAAAAAAAAAGAGATGACAATTTACTCAAATGAAAGTTATTGAAAACTAAAAACTATTTCCAGTACTGTAAAATTTATGAAGAAGTATAAGCTATCTGTTTTTGTAATAAGATAAACACAAAAAAAAGTAATTTACATAAATGAAAACTGTTAAAAACGAAAAACTGTTTCCTATATTATAAACTAAACTTTCAAAAGGGTCAGATCACAGTAATTTTCATTGCGTTATTTTCTATTTTACATGCAATGAATATTTCACTAGAAACTCTAAAACTTTATCCCTTTAGAAGTACAGCATCATCAAAATTTATTCGAAGATTTTTATATACTGTTTTATATACGCATATACTGTTTAGTTCTTTATTTTTCACTCCAAAAAAAGATTGCTATCACGGAAACATGTCAGTAATAGTTAAAAGACATACAACATCTGCAAGATTTACAAAAAATTGACTTCATTTAAAATATTGTTGTAGGTTAAAATCGATGTTCGTTTGTAATATTTCTTAAGATGGTATTTTTACGTATTTCATGCTATACTGTAAAAAATTATGATCCACCTTAACACCATAAATGATGGCAACTACTTTGCACCAAAGTTGTATTCCATAAAGTGTTACACTGCACCAAGAATATACTATTGCACCACTTGGGGTAAAGTAGAAGCCACCATTTTTTTGTACTCAGTGGCACCAAAATTTATAATTATTTGATAAGATACAAATAAGAGTCAGTAAATGCATTTTTACGATACAATATAAAATAAGAATCATTAGTTTAGAATCACGTATCGATTCATTCATGAAAAAAAAATGCATTTGTCAATCAACTTACGTGTAGCACAGAGAGAACATTAATGATGAACTCGAATAAGGCTTAACAGAATGGATTCTGGTAGAAACTATGCATAATAAAATCCCTTAATACAGAGATTTAAAAAATGAAATATAATTATCGATCTATTTTAATAGCGAGCAACAAATCATCCAATTAAATCACAATAATTCTAAAACAACGACTAACTCTCGATTGCAAACTTAAATTTTGGCGATAAGAAAAAGCACGCCAACAATCGGGGTTTTTAGAAGGGAAATTGACTTCTGTTTTGCTTGAATGAAGTAGAAGTTGGTGTATGTTTATTCTATTATAGCTGTTTAAATCAAAATTACACTTTTTAAATCTTATATGAACACTCAATTTTGCGATAACCCTGGAATAAAGTGTTCCTTCACGTAATTTTTTTGGATTGTCCAACATTATATTCAGAGAGATATTACATCACAATTTTTACAGTGTATAATTTTAAAATCTTATTTTACTTCTCTATAGAAAAAAGTTTTTAAAAAAATCGTCGATCGTTATACGAGGCGCATCCAGAAAGTAAGCTTCCCGATATTTTCCCCTTTAAAGTAAACGTAATTAGTCGCGTCAATTGGCATGCGTAACAGATCTATGATGTATCAATCATATGCCAGCCGGAGAGGTCCCGCCTAGAGCCAGTAGCGTGGTAGCAGTGGTCCGAAATGGAAGCTCTTTTTCCTTCTCCCGCCTCCTGAGAGGTTCGGTTGGTGATAAAGTTCTTGAATGCACGAAGCATGGCGCCAACTGAAATTCATAGTCAGCTCTATCAGGTCTATGGGCCGTACATCATGAGTAAGCAGATGGTGCGTCGCTGGTGTAGGCAGTTTTCCAAACGTCGTCAAAGTCTCTATGATGAAGAGCGCAGTGGGCGACCGTCCCTCATCAATGATGAGCTTGTGGGGCATCCACCCTACAGTCCTGATCTTGCTCCCAGTGATTTTTACGTCTTCTTGCACCTCCTGAAATTCCTGTCCTCCGGTGAGTGTTTTGGCAACGACGAGGAGCTGAAGACGTCTGTTTCACGCTGGTTCCATTCACAGACGGCAGAGTTCTACGACAGAGACATGCAAAAGTTGATTCCACGATACGTTAAGTGTCTCAATTCTAGTGGTGACTATGTTGAAAAATAGCTGAAACATTGAGGAAATTGTTGCCAATAAATATGTTCCTGAAAGTGTGAATTCCTTTTTTATTTTAAATATGGAAACTTACTTTCTGGAAGAGCCGACCGGCCTGTCCTTGCATCAGAAAGGTTCTGGGTTCGAATCCCGGGCAAGGCTTGAATGTTTCTTTCTCTCTATCTGTGTTCTATGTCCTTTCTCCTTTGTGTGTGAATGTGACCCGCCCTATAAACGGGTTGTGGTAGTGTGACGTGGGCGACGCTGGTCCACCGCCGTGGCGCCCACTGGGTAATGAAAAGAGAGTTAGCAGTTCTGGCACTTTCTGTGGCCAATGGACAATAGTTCCAAGTGCCCGCCATTAAAAGAAAAAACGTTTCTGGATGCGCCTCGTACAAAGTAGTAAAAATCATCATTTGTTTGTTCTTAGGATGTATTTATTATGTGCTATTATTTCAAATTTTCTTACGTTCCTGATTAGAACAATAAATCATTGCTCAATCGTAGTATTCTTTTCGTAAAGAATTCATCAATTGTTTTATCCTCTTATTTAAGGTTTCATTATAATTTTATTTGGAATAAAAATAAGCTTTTCTAATATTACATATCGATTTAGAAGGAAAACAATGATGCAAAGAACAAAGATGTACCAGACAGAGGTAAATGGGGAAAAAGTATTCACAGTCTTCTTCTATGCATATCTATGTCAGTTGGATTGGGGAATGTATGGAGATTTCCTAATGTTGCTTACAAAAATGGAGGAGGTGAGATTGTTCATACATTCTTTTTTTTTATTAATATTCCTGTACTGTAAAATTTCTTTGTGTATCTTACCTCCAAAAATGAGAGCAACTAATTTACACCAAACGCCATATGCTGTAAAAAATACCGGGCAAATTACGGTATAAACTATCGGCATTTTGGGCACATCATCCGTGAAATCAATTTTCTCATAAAATTCATTTTTACCGTAAAATATTATGTCATGCTTTTTACAGTTAAATTTATTTAATTACAGTGTTTCAGTGATTTTACTGCAATTATTACTGTAATAATAACGGCATATCAGATTTTTTTGTTCCGTAACATGTCTCGGTAAAAATGGTTCTTATAGTAAAAAGTACCAGCACCCTGAATGCCGGTACTTTTTACCGTAATTGGATCTGAATATTTTTACAGTGTAGTTATTTTCTGGCTCTTGGTGCTTCATTACAGTAGAAGAGAACTTTTTTGCATTACTCGTTGTAAGGAAGCAGCTGCAATTTTTGGTATTTAGTAACATTAAAATTTATAATACAATAAGATAAAATATTAAAATATCTACAAAGTTATCTTTACGACACAATATAAAGTAAATCTTTTTAATTTAGAATGCATGAACACACTAATTCTTAAAATAAAATTAGTTTGCTAATCAAACATGCGCGTACACTGTAAAAAGAATTGGCGTATAGTCACCCTGATCTTGGGCGTTGAGGTCAACCAAATACATTTTTAAGTACCGAACTGTAACTAACATGCAAAAAATATAAAAAAGTACCATTTTTTTTAAATAACTAAGACGAATATTTTAATAATACTGTGCCTGATTTTTAAACGAAATGTCTTTGCAATGAAGTAATTTAATGGAATACCGCAAGAGACCATCCGAGAGCTTTATCGGTCTATGCCACGCCGTGTGGCAGCTTGTATCCAGGCTAGAGGCGGGTCAACACCTTATTGAACTTCTTACTGTAACTCTGCAATAAATTATTCAATTGTTCTGAAATTTTAATCATTTATTATTCTGTACATTGTCTTCCTATCCACCAATTTTCGTTTCAATCGGACAACTCCTTCTTGTTGCGTCGATTTTTTTGTTATAGAGTGTATATATATATATATATATATATAAATAAAATAATGAATAATGAAAAAAGAAAAGAAGAAAATTATATAAAGTAATTTTAAAAAAAATTAAATAAAATATTTGGGAAAAAAAGAGAGATGTATACATTATTTTTTTTCTCTTTTTACAGGTGCATTTCTAATACCATATTTACTTTTACTCGTTATTATTGGCCGCCCATTATACTATTTAGAACTAATTCTTGGGCAATTTTCCAGTCAAGGACCAATAAAACTCTGGAGAATTGTTCCTGCTTTCAAAGGCGAGTATACGATTGTTGATTAAAGTATCTGACTAATTTCGACAACTTTTTTTTAATGTTAATATAAAATTAAAAAAACTAACTAGTTTATATGTTTTATTATGTGTAAAAACTTTTTTTAAATGGCCATTTTTAGGAAAATATAAAGTATTTTTTGCATATACGTCAAATATTGTAAATAATTCTATCACCCAAAACAAAAAATCGTTTGAGGATTTTGTTTAGAAGGCCTATGTTTTGACCTATTGTCTTAAAAGCAAGTGCATATATTACTGCGTTGCGGATCAATATAGTTAAAAAAGTAAATTTTTTAAAAATTTCTGCACGCGTCTTCGCAAAAAAAAAAAAAAAAAAAAAAAAAAAAAAAAAAAAAAAAAAAAAAANAAAAATTAATGAATAATGAAAAAAGAAAAGAAGAAAATTATATAAAGTAATTTTAAAAAAAATTAAATAAAATATTTGGGAAAAAAAGAGAGATGTATACATTATTTTTTTTCTCTTTTTACAGGTGCATTTCTAATACCATATTTACTTTTACTCGTTATTATTGGCCGCCCATTATACTATTTAGAACTAATTCTTGGGCAATTTTCTAGTCAAGGACCAATAAAACTTTGGAGAATTGTTCCTGCTTTCAAAGGCGAGTATACGGTTGTTGATTGAAGTATCCTACTAGTTTCAACAACTTTTTTTTAATGTCAATATAAAACTATAAAAAACTAGTTTATATGTTTTATTATGTGTAAAAATGTTTTTTAAATGGCCATTTTTAGGAAAATACAAAGTATTTTTTGCATGTGCGTCAAGCATTGCAAACAATTCTATCACCCAAAACAAAAAATACTTTGAAGATTTTGTTTAGAAGGCCTATGTTTTGACCTATTGTCTTAAAAGCAAGTGCATATACTACTGCGTTACGGATCAATATAGTTAAAAAAGTAAATTTTTTAAAAATTTCTGCACACGCCTTTGCAAGAAAAATACGCATAAAAAATGAAATTCTATTTCAATACATGTATGGTGTATTCATAAACACAGATGAGAAATTGTAGACAATTATTTTGAAAACATTATGAGATATCGTGTTTAAGGTGATGTAAAGCGTGAAAAACCTGATTTTGAGAAAAAACGCAAAGACTTAAAATCACTAGTATATCCACTGTTAACACCTGCTTGTTCAAAAACTATTATAACTTTGTAAATAATTAGAGTACTAAAGTATTTTTTGGAAGGTTTCGACTACAGGAATACAAAATTTATAATAAATTCAACTTAAAAAATTTCTTCCAAAATCATGTTTTTGCAATAGTCAGGTACCTTAGTCGATCAGAAATATCAACGGAAAGTTTTACATATTTAATGCATTTTCTAAACATTTTTGGTGTGTATTGCGTTATAGCCAATTAACATTTAAATATTGTTTTAGGCATTGGATATGCTCAAGTGATTTCCGTAGCATTTATTGTTATATTTTATAATTATCTGATGGCATTAAGTATTTTCTACATATATTCTTCATGCTCGGCTTGCCTACCTTGGACTGACTGCCATTACCCAAACAGAACGGTAATAAAAATTTTTTTGTTTTATCTTTTCCAACGTTGCATGTTAATAAGTTGATTTTTTAATAGCATGATATTTTATTTTTCAGGATATAGTAAACATGACTACCGCTGAATATTTTTGGAAGTAAGCATTCTTGACATTTTATTTTAATTTTTTTGCAGTGATAAAATTACATACTGAAAATATAATTGGCGCATTGTTTTTTAAAATTCATATTAAGATGCTCTTAAGATTCCAGAAAACAATAGTCGATACTTCATTGCGGACACGGAGAAATAAATTCTGGTAAAACTACTATACTGTAAGTGATGGTATTTCTAGTAGAAAAAAAATTCTAGCAATCAAAAATCAGAATATAAGATATTAAATCCTTCGTTTAATAATTTTGACGTTCATAAACTAACAGTTTACCAGAAATTTTTGTTTTCAAGATTTTATAGTTCTTATTATTACACATTTAATAAAAAATACCAAACTGAAAAGTGATTTTAACGGAATAAATGGTTTTTATGCATTACTCTGAAGGTATCATGCTAAAATTAACAAATTTTACCACATTTACTATATTATTACACATTATATAATCATATTTTATTGTTAATTTAACTAAAATCATAACTAAAGATCTTTGGAAAAAATTACTAAGTTTTTGGTATTTCTATAGAACCGGTAATTTTTTACCATATTCTGGTAGTTTACTGTTATTATAGAACTCTGTTAATAACGTCAATATCAAATATATTTTAAGCTTATCTACAGTTTTACAATATATTTTGTTTAATATATTGCAGTTCAATTAAACCTTTATAAATAAACTAATTATTTATTCCTTCCATTTTATTTAAATTTTTGTGTTGTTTAAAAAATTAAAAGTTTGAATCCTAAATAACAGAATAAATTTTTCTCATTAATTGAGACTAAATGAAAAAGGATATAAATACGCATAATATAAAAGAAATATTTTAATACTCAATTGTAATTTTCCTAATATCTATTTTCTAACTGTTTAAACTTCATTTCACAATTTTGTGAGTTAAAATGGAAGATGTTTTATCTCATTTACCTCATACTACTTCATTTTATGTTGTTAAATATGAAATTTAATGGCCTCATTGATTTTTTTCAGGAATGAAGTATTAGAATTGGATTATGACAATCCCGATACAGTAACCCATATAAGCTGGAAGCTAGTAATATCACTCCTTGTCACGTGGATTTTGGTTTATATTACAATTGTACAGGGTACTGAATCTCTGGGGAAGGTAAAGCTATATTTAACTATAGTAACATTACTTTGATATGCAAGTTTACGAAAAACAATTAAACTTAAATGAAAGAAAATACTCCATTTATTGTTTAAAAAACTATTTTTCTCACTAAAATTTTGGTTGACATAATTCGAAAAAATACATACTGGTTTCTCAATAATCACTCTTAATATATACTCTGGTTTTTAAAACTTAGAGAATTTTCATATTTCGTTGATAACTGCAAAATGTGTGAACCAACAGAAATGAAATTTGCCATAAAAATAGGATTATATAATGCAAAAAGAATAAATAAATTGCTATTCAATAGTTATAATACACACACATGCTTGTGCATAACACCCATTGGAGTTGGAAAGAATGACATAGGGGTAAAGAATCGAATTAAAAAAAATTGATAAGTAAAGGGTTTGGTTCCCCTCTAGTTAGTTTAGAATAAAAAACAGTTCTTTAGCTGTGTTTCTAGGCAGTAAATTAGACAATATAGGTATCCTAATGCCATTCATATTGATGCTATTCTTACCTTGTATGGATGTTTGACGGGGATGCCAGTTTTTGCCTTCCTTATTTGTCATGCTTGGAGAATTACAAACATGTTCGATAGGACTGAGGTCTAAAATATCAGCTGGCCATTATGTATGACAAATATCTCCCCATTCCAGAGAATTTCTATCAAAACGAGCAGTACGTGACCCGAGTTATCATCAGTTAAAATAAAATCAAGGTTATCTGTACACCTAAAAAGATGAATATTGACTTTCAAGGTATCCCCTAAACCTCAATCCAATCATATCACCTCTTTCAAAGATATGTAGATGATGCCTGGTGTCCTGACCATGAATCTGTTGCTGTTATATGGTGCTTTGTTTCTTGGACATTGGAGGTTAGGTAGTGGGTCCTTGACTCTCTCCATGTAAAAGTATGAATCAAGACAGGCTACTTACATTGTATCACGATATATCCACTATCATGATGAGTATCATGACTGCGAAATTTCGATGATCTGATCGGGTTTCATGTCTAATGGCTTCTGAACCTGTCGCTCAAAGAATCACTGTAACCATTGTGATTATGAGTATGAGATCTTGAAGCCGGTATTTTAGCCGCTATATTCGCTATTTTCGGAGTCTAATTTGCTTTACTAAGACAGCAACACACGGCAACTTAGTAAATCTTGTTGTCGATGTCGCACGGATTTCAGGCCTAAAGCTTATCGAGTATTGTCTTACCTTTATAGGCATTACATATCTCTTAATTTTTAAAATTCCATTTAGTTTTTAAACTTGTAATTATATTTCTTCCGTTTTAATCCTTTTCCCAATAAATAAAACTGTAAATTTTTTATATAAGCTCACAAAGGAAGCGGATGTAAATAATTTCAGTTTTCTTTCCTTATCTTAATTGAGGTAACGGTTAACCTTTTATTTCAGTATAAAGATAAAACCTAATTATTATATAATGTTATGAAAACAGATATTAAAAATCTAATGATAATCACCCTCTCTTCAATCTGTATTAAAATTTTTAATTCAAATTAATGATTTTTTTTACTTTTCTGTTTTGCCAAATATTTAAATGGCTAATTAGTTCTCATTGACAAAGTACCATTATGATTATTGATATCATTTTTTTATTCTTTCAGATGGCTTATTTTACGGCTGTGTTTCCATACATAGTATTAACAGCTTTGCTGATTGTAGCTCTACAAAACAAAGGATCATGGGAAGGCATAAAGTTCTTTTTTGAACCTGAGTTAGAGAAACTTTTAGAAATAGAGGTTAGACTTACATTTTCCTTGATTTAAAGTTTAACGATTTTTCTTTTCTCGCTTCGAAGTGTTACACGAAAACTATTAAAATATATTTTATTACGTGTATTTTTTTTATAAGAAAAGCAAAATATACCCTTTGCATGGCGTCAGGCATGAATAAAAATAATGTTTAACTCAAAATAAATGTAAAGCATACAAAGCTCATATCTGTGAAAACTTGGATTCACGGGATAATAAACGTCAGAAACTAAGATATAAATGGTTCATTTTTTTATGATTCTGAGATATAAATGGTTCATTTTTTTATGATTTTTTACAGTCCTATCTATCTGTAAAAAAATTTTCAAAAATTGTGTAAAGTTTTGATGCAATAAATATGCAACCAAAAATATAAGTTTAGATATTTTAAAACAAATTATATTTACATCAAAATGTTAAAATATTTATGCTTCTTCAATTATTGGTATTTCCCTGTAAAAAATTCCTGATCAAATTACTGTAAAAACTATTGGTACTCTGAGTGCAGCATGCGTAAAACCCATTCTTATCATAGGATTTTATACCGTAATTTTTCAGTAATTTTTATTTCATTACAGTGATTCAATGAATATTACTGTAGTAACTACAGTTTATCATATTTTTTGTATCATAATATTTTATAGTAAATATGGATTTTATGATAAAAAGTACCGGCACTCAAGATGCAAGTTTTTTATCATAATTTCATACGGAATTTTTTTTATTGTTTATAGTTTATTGGAATTTTTACATTTTGTAAAAATAAAATTTGTATTAAGTTGAAACTTAAGCTACAACCAATCTCTATCTTTTTACATAAAAAGTAGTTAAATTTATTTTAAACTTTTTAAATTGTAAAATTTGCTTCACTGATTTTAATCAGCAATGAATTTTTTCTGCGATGAATTTTAGTTTTATTTTGCAATAAATATGTATGCTTGATTTAAATGAAGACTATATTGATTAAATTGAGCTGTTATTAACTAGTTGTTTTATTACTTTTTTATGTTTTTATCTAGGTATGGTACAGAGCGTGCGAACAGTCCTTTTTTTCTCTTGCGATCGGTTATGGTAACATCGTCATGATAGCTAGTTACAACAAATTCTCAAATAACGTCTACAAGTTAGTATTTTTTTTAAATTATTGGTGAGTTTTGATTTTATTTCTCAGCTAAATATATATAAAACTATAATGTCTACTTGGTCTAAATAATTTCTAGGTAATTTAGAACTAAAAGATGTATCAGTAATAAATTAACAATTGAAGTTAATGCTGATATAAGTCGTCTTTTCTGCTTCTTTAAAGTAATAAATTAATTAATAAAAATAATCTAAGCTTTCTTATTGTCATTCTTAACATATACAGTCTACACACAAAACTCATTATTTCACAAATGGCTTATTTTTAAATGAATCTGATTTGCGTGTTTTTATAAAACAAACTTGTAAGAAATTTTTCCTACCTTATTTATCTTAGAGGCAATGACAAAAAATCTCGAAATGTATTAAAATACTCTTTAAAAAATAAAATACTGAAATCTTAGTTAATTATGCGTATTTAAATATACAAATCGGTTTAGAAAGTAACAAATTTGAAAGCTGTTAAAAAATCTAATGCTTATATTGATTTTGATTATTGTTATTCAGTTTTAATAGTTTAATTCATTTTTTCAGGGATGCTATAATTATAAGTGTTTTAGATACCTTTACGAATATTTTAGCTGGATGTGTCATATTTGCAGTACTTGGAACTTTAGCACATGAGAAAAACCTTCCAATTGACGACGTTGTTGATCATGGAGGTAAATGAAATAATTGCTCCGGAATGCTTTTAACACACTTGAGTAAGTTAAAAGCATTCCAGAATTAGTTTTAGTTAAAGTTTCATTGTTTCACATATGTTTGATCATATTTACCAACCACCTTCGGAAACCAGCTGATCTATCATTTCATTGTGTGGAGTTTTATGTATCTTGAGATTTAAAAATGTACAGTCGAAAATTAAAGCTACATATAAGTATAAACTAATATTACACAGATTATGCTGGCTTTAATTCCATAATGCTTGCTTTCAGATCCTTGGAGTTTGGGGGCAATTTTTTAAATTTGACAAAAGTTAAATCGGGGTGAATTTGTTATTAAAAAAGGATTTGTCTTTCAGTGAAACATATGCTAAAATTAAAAAAATACATGATAATTACATAGGGGTAAA